AAAATGTTTTTTATTGCAAAAATAAACTACGCCTTGCCCAACGCTCATTGTCCGTCGAAATGTAGCGCTAGCAGTCCGAATCGGGTGCCAAAGCTTTAGCACTAAGCGTTATCTTGATCAGAAGTTATAGGTGACTTTCTTAAAATTTCAATGGGAAAACGGGGCCCATTTTTGCCCGTTACTGGTAACTGGCGTTGTAGAGATTCCGTGTGTTCGACAGCTCTGTCGGCCACCACTTTCCCATTGGAAACTTCAGAAAATCCCGTAAAACTTTTCAATACAATAACGGTTAGTACTGAAACTTTAGCGTTTGGTTTGAACCGCTAGCGCTATATTTGGGAGGAGAATGAGCATTCGGCGATGCGTAGTTTATTTGCACGGCAAAATGAACCTTGTAATTTATTTTTTTGTTTGGCTTGGGGGGAATCGTCAGGAGACAAACAACTTTAGTAAAGAGTTTCTACTTTAATGGCGATTCAAATCCGTTTCAATCAAACTAAAATATACACCAAAAGAAAGAAGACATGCCTTCGGTAAAAATCAAAAACTAAAAAAAAAAAAACGAAAAACGAAAACTCTTTTGTTACGAGAATCACCCAGCATGATAACAAAGAAATCGCGAAATCACCCGTCTGCTACCGCTGCGCGTGTGCACAACATTAGGAAAAAAAAAAAAAAGTATTTCTGTTAAAACGCCGACCTAAAACCGTCGAATCCGAACGAAAATAAGCGCCGAAAAACGGGGCGCTCCTCGGCACCAGACGCCGTGCCCCCTCGGCGTGTCTGGTTCGGAGCCCGGCCCTGAACCCTGGCGTCGGGGCGACCGAGAACGGCACCCGGGAGCGGTGGCCGGGCCCGGATCCCCGGGGTCGTTGACCTCGAAAAATCCATACAGGTGACGTCACGGGCGGGGCGACGCCCATCCCCTCTTCTTCCCAATTTAGGAGGTTCCTTTCCCCTTGGTCAACCCCCTCCCACTCTCCCGTGACTCCCTCCACCCCCATCCAAATGCTCTTGATGCTCCCCTTTCACTGCCTCCAACGGCTCGTGCAGGTTCCGGTGTCAGTGGCGCCATCTCTCGCTGCGGAGTGTTACGACAAAGCCTGGAATAATGGACGGGCGGAACGATGGTTCCGATTGAGTAGTACGGCGGCTTGCGCCATCTAGTAGGTGCGGGGAGAAGCTCCTGGCTTCCCCCATTTTCCTTTATTTCAAAATAAATGATAACAAAACGTACCAGGTGGGGGGGCTTGCCCATAACCGAAGGCCTACATTTCTCCTGGCTTCTCTTTCACCCCAAAACAAACAAACAAAACATTTAATGATGGACGGGCGGAACGATAGTTTCGATTGAATTGTATGGCGGCTCGCGCCTTCTGGTAGGTGTGGCAAGAAGCTCAGTCTCTAGTTGTGGAGTCTTGCAATATGATCTACAAGGGTGGACGGACGGAACGACGGTTTCGATTGAGTTGCGTGGCGGTTTGCACCGTCTGGTAGGCGTGGCGAAAAGCTCAATCTCCAGTTGTGGAATGTTACAACTAGGGATGTCGCGAACCTGCCGAGGTTCGAGATCAAACAGGCTAGACTTTGTCAAACTTTTACCGCAAGGTTTGACAAAAAGTTCGACTTATGTTCGACTTTCGTGCGCACGCGCCAAAACTAAAGACTAGCTGACGCCGCACGGTGTAGTAAAAGTACTTTTTTTATACTTGTACGTTACTCGTTACAAGTAATCAAATTACTTGTAATTGACAACTTTTGTTGTAATTTTGTTATAACGTGAATGCATTTATTAGGAAGTGATCATGAGAGTAATCTGATTCGTTTTTTAGTATCAAAAATACTTGCAAGCGCTATTATTTTCCCCTTCCCTTTTTAATGGCGGCTTGTTTCTACCAGTAGCCTACCAGGGAATCCTCGAACCGAATCTCCGACATAATATGGTTTACCAAAATTGGCAGATCAAGGAAATAAGTAGTCTATAATTGGGTCATTTTAATCTAATTTTGGGCAGCACGAAAGACCCGTTTTCATGACAGAAAAACCTGTCGCTTTGAATATCCGAGGGAATCGGAAAAGTAACGGTATGCTTCTCGAGTAATCGAGTAAACTAATCGAATGCTTTATAATTAAAAGTAATTGGAATTGGAATCAATTACTTTTTTAGAGTAACGCGTACAAGACTGTTTATACCACATGTTTATGTTCATCAGTACCGTTGTAGGAGAATGGTACAGGAACAACAACATACAAATACACTATCAAAATAGCAAACAAACGGAATTTCAATAAGGTAACATGCCACAAATATCTAGCAGAAACACACTAGAAAAGATAAGAAATAATGTTCAAAAAAAGGTTGGCCTTCACTCAACAACGTAGGAAGAAGTGTTATCTTGCAGCACCCAATGATAAACCGCAGCGACTACTCCGTCGTGACCAGGGCAGCCAGACGGCGTTTTATCCTACGACCACGAACTCTCGTGACTGGCAGCAGTTACGTAGTAGTAACGCGAACAACGCTGGCGGGGCCGGGGGTGCTCCACGTCTACAGACTCTACGTGTAAAGTATGAACAACGCGCTTCCTCGAAGACATCCGTTGTCGACGACCCTGGCTGCCTCATGTGCTCCGACACAGTAAACAAGTTCTCCGTGATTGGAATAGGCCCTTTTCAATACCCAATCGAGCAATATTGGCGGCCACCATTTCTTGGCTAGGTGACGCAAGCTAACGCCCGTTACAAAGCCATTAACATCTACCCAACATCCATCCACTGGCCATTTCTTAGGCGTGGTTGGATCCGAGTCCTCACCGAATGCTGACGCAGTCCTCGTGTCCAATACGCGCCTAGAGACTAGAGTACGTTCCCGAACAATGGCGGCTTGGGATACTCGGCTCGAACGCTACTAGATGGCGGGCACTTTTGAAAAGGAACTTTTGGCGCTGGGCAGCGCAGTGCTCCAGAAGAAACCATCATACTCTCTTCTGAATCTAACCGCCGCTCACAGGAAAATTCGGATCTATTTACTTGACTTCCTCGAGTGAACCGGCCTCACCAATAGTCTGTACGAGTATACTACGAGTCTTCCTCATTCTCTCGGTACAATTTATCCAATTTCTCCAACTACTTGTACAATTTTCTTTTCTTTTTCTGATTTCCATTTTTCGTTACCCTTCTTTCTCTCTCTCTCTATCTCCCCCCTCTCCCCTTAATTCTTAGAGGAAAACCAGTTCGGCAACCCCGAAAGAACAACCTTCCCCTTTTCTCCCAAATACACTACGACTGGCTGCTAGTTTGTTTGTAGTTTATTGGGTCGTCAACAAAGACCAAGCGGGAGACTACTCCTCTGAATTTTAACCGAACGCCAGTGTCGGTGTGCGTGGCGCATGGCCGTGGGAGCCGCTTTCCCCTACAATCTCTACCAACATGTATTCGTGCTGTCACGTATTTCTGACGATACTATCAGAAAACGGATCACTTTCTTCTCTTTTCTGAGAAAACTGTCCGCACACTACTGCCCACTAACCTTCATGTTAGATAATAACCCCACCCCTTCTTTTTTTTTTTTTTTTACAGCATCTGTTTAGCTTGACTTAGAAGGACGGTGAAATCAATCCTTTTCGGAAATATGGATTCGAGAATGAAGAGATTTTGTACCCTCCCTCTCTTTCTGCTGGCCGAGCAGAGAGGGAAAATGGTTCATTTGTCTCAACTTCCGAGTCGGAGATGATCCACACTGGGGACAGAAACGATGTTTGGGGCAGCCGTATCTAGGTCACAGCGCCTCAATGAGCCAGCAGGATGTTGGTGACGTTTTCGGGTACGAATTTATCCAAATAGGGTGGTCGAACGGACCGCAGAAGCTTGCGAGCACGTTGGTTTGTAGATCGTTTTCGCCGACCCGCAAAGCTCTCCACAACCCGCTACGATGCTGGGAACTCTACAGTCAAGGCCATCGGCGCGCAGGCGCAGTAGAGGCTTCTTCGTTGCGGAGGGTTTAGCGGAAGGGGAAACGCGGTCTACGAAAACTCCCTAATCTCAAACCCAGTCCCGCACCTAGGAAATAACGTCACTTATTTGAAAAAAAAAACAAACAAACAAACAAAACAAAAAACAGTCTGATAAAAATAATGCCAAAGAGCGAACGTTTGAAACGGGCTGTGTCTGCACCAGCAAAACGCTGCATTACTTCCATACAAAGTACCACGAATGTGGGTACTTTGTATGGAACACCCACATTTGGAAAACCAAATGTGGGTGTTTATTTCAATCCGCGGACGAGCGAGCGTGAATACTCCTTGCAGCAACGAAGCTACGCTGACCTAGATTAGGCTTCCGTAACATCGCTTTCATGCCAAGGTCCGTCTTTACTCCTCGAGTTTACTAATCCTCGATCTAAAATCCAAAAGAGGTCATCAGTTCTTCAGAAAGTGGTAGTAGCAAAAACACTGGGCGTGTAGTCTGTAACCTAAAATCGCAAATGCTACGAATAACGCAAGCAAAAATTATTTCTGCACAAAAAAAAAAAACAAAAAGAAACATAAAAAACCAACAAACGGAGAAGCACCCAGACTGTCTAAAAGTGTGCTTGTCTGGTTTTATTTTATGTTCACAGGCTCGGTTTTTATATATTTTTTATGGAGTTAGTTTACACACTTGCCTGCGTTTCTTCATTTTACTAGCGTGTTGAATACGTCTCACAATAGATTAATTTAGTGGTCCACTCGAACAAAGCCGGGAGTCATGATGCTACTGCACCGTTGCTAGCAGTCAAAGACTGCTAGCAACGGTGAGCTAAAAAAAAAAAAAAAGAAAACACGCGCGTAGTTTTTTTTTTTTTCAGTTTTTTTTAGCTTGATTTGGAGATAGCGCACCGGACTCCCTTTCCGAAGAACTAGGAAATCTTGACGGGCGCGCTCAGTAAACCGGAATCGGCGGTGGTGTAGCGGTAGCGTTCGCAGCTGCGTGCAGCCGGAGCGCGCGATGCCGCCACCGTCACCTCGACTGCGCAGCGCGCCACAAGCCGCAACGACCCGCCGCACCTACCCCCCTCTCCCACAGTCGTCACGTGACCGCGGCGTTGCTCCGCAGCAGGCCGGAACGGACGGAAACGCCAGCGCAGCGGCGGGAGGCGACGACGCTGTCCGCAATGGCGTTCCCCGTCGAGGAGTTTGTGGACGCCGTGCGGCCGCATCGGTTCCTCTACGACCGCACGCAACTCGACTTCAAGGACGTCTCCAAGAAGGAAGCCCTCTGGGAGATCATCGGACAGCAGTTCGGCCTCAGTGGTGAGCGGGGCAAGGGGCATACACACCGCCGAATGCGGCTGCAGCGCCGACATTGCGGCGTTGCCGACCGAGCTTGCCGACGTGGGGGAGGGAGCAGGGACGGAAAATCGCCGACGCTGGGGAGAAAATGTCCCTGGGTTTTCCCTACGCCGTCTGCCTGCCTGCTCTCTTTCCCTACGCGGCTTCGCCGGTCCCCTACGCGCGTTCGCCGTCTGCCGTTGTGTTTTTGCGACGCCTTTTTCTTGTCATAGGAAGGCGTGCTTTCAGGCCCGCTTCGGACGGGGCAATTTCTCCCAGCAACTTGACGTCGCAACCACGACCGGCCTGTGTAGGACCGGTCGTGGTTGCAACACCAGCAACACGGACCGCCCGCGTTCACAAGCAGCAACTAGATGTGTCGCGAACTTTTGTCGAACCGGATTTTTAGCTCGAACTTTCGGGGTCGACGAGCCTTCGGACTTTTGACCAGATTCGACCGGTTCGGCCAGTGGGTTCGACTTTGTGGACAGTGTGGCCAGTCCTTGATACAAGCATGTCTAAATTTGGAAAAAAAAAATTTTCTTTTTTTTTTTTTCTGCAAAGAGTTATTTTAATTTTATAAACAGTGTCAATGAAAATAAACTAATTTTAATCAGTGAAGAAGTTAATCAGTTCATTTTTTGTACTGTATTAACTGAAATAACCAATCAGTGCTGCCCTTAATTCACCCCTCAGTCATCACCATCCAATCCGAAGCTAACTGGCCAGCCTGTCCCGCATGCCCGTAGCAGTTGAACAAGAAGTTTGAAAAAGTCGAACCTGGTCGAACTCGAACCTCGACTGGTTCGCGACATCCCTAGTTCAAAATACTAATGTATCACTGTGAAACGGATTATTTCCAAAAACCACCAATTTCAAACCAGAACCAAGTCTAGTTGTCGTCGTCACTGGCACGAGGTTTCACATGAAAATATTGAGTCCTTGATTCGCTGCTGCCGCTTCAAACATCTCCGAGTTGCTCGCTTGTTTCGAGCCAGAGCAGACCCGATCTCAACAATTCGTGTCGATCTAAGGAAAGCTAGGGAACAACCCACCAGCAACCTCGAAATTGCTGAGGCCCGCTTCAGACGGGGCAATTTCGCCCAGCAACTTGAAGTCGCAACACCAGCAACACGGGCCGCCCGCGTTCACACACAGCAACCGAAATGCTGCAATTTGCCATCATCATCATGAAATTTGATTTTTCTTGCACTATTTAGACACAAAGTTACGTGCTATAAGTGCGTTTTTATTAATTTTAATGGCATAGAGAATACTGATGCATCTCTCTGAAATGGTTTATTTCCAAAAACGATCAATTTCAAACCAGAACCAAGTCTTTAGTTGTCATCATCACCAACGCGAGGCATCACGTGAAAATATGGTGTTCCTGATTGGCTGCTGTTGCTTCAACCGTCTTCGAATCGTTCCAAGTGGGGCGTTCAGTTTGAGAAGTACAATCATTTTAATTTTGGTCGGTTCTTTCCTTTTTTCGGGACCTGCCATACACCAACGCGCGGCTATGGCGTCATGCCGCTGCGGTGGCACTGCTGTCGGTACGACGCACACGCTCCACTTCTCATGAATCTGGTTTGTGCGCCCCCGCAGTGCCCACACCTGGCATGGACAAACGCTGACTTGTTAGTTGGTCTATAACTAGGGTTCGGATTTTTCGGTTTAAATCGATAAAAGTACGCCGAATCCATTTTCAAAAGTTTGATTTTATCCGGAAAAGGTCACTTTGACCTTCCAGTCGTACCGCAGAGCCGTGGCGAAAAAGTAAAACGACAGTGTCTATCGAAACGTGTCCGAATGTATGGGATGCACGGATACCATCACGACGTTTTGGTTTAATCTGCGCATCATCGATCGGAACGTGTAGTCTGAAATGCCCCCATGACTTCGCCATGTACGAGCGTGTTTTCAAACTCGTAAGAAAGACTGACTTGATGCAAGCTCTGCATGTTGTGTTGAGCTCCAAAACGTCACACTGTATCTCTTTTAGCGGTCACAATTGGTTCATTGGCCGATTTTGGCTCAGACAGCGCTTTATCTCCTTAGCCTGCCAGTGTCCAGTATTAGCGTTTAAAGGGCATTCTCGAAGTTCAGTGTGTCATATTAACAGGAAAGAAAGAGGAGAACCTGGAACAGTACATGTGTGTGTGTGCTCTAATAAGATCATGTAATCCTGACATACAGAAGGTGAAGTTCCATGATTTTGGGGTGTGGGCTTCATATCTGACTTGTTTGTACTTCTGTGTTTTTTTTTCTTGTTTCTTTTACAGTTGCAGACATTTGCCAAATAAAGTGTCCATTTCTTTTTCAATGTATCTGTGCCGTTATTCCTTGAGAGAACACAAATATCAGAGCTACAAGGATAATCTGATCCGGTGTGTGTTGGTGTTTATTTTATATTTGCTGAAAAAAGCCGATAAACTTTTGTGGGCATAAATATGCAGCGAAATAAACCGGAAATTGAATTTTAAAATAAACACCGAAAAAAGTATGCCAAATTTTGAAAAAATAGAAACCGAAAACGTGGAACCCTATCTATAACGATCAGATGAAAAGAAATGGACCCTATTCAAAAGTTTATCGAGCAACATTGATGGTCGCCATTCCTTGGGCACGGAGCGTGTGATTGGATTAGCGAGTCCTCACCAATTGCTGACGCAGCACTTGTTCTCAATGCGAGCCGAGTCGTGTTCACGCCGAACGCTGATGCATAAACTCGTGTCCAATACACGCTTACGATACATGCGAACTCGGATAATCGGTACAACAGCTATTAGATGGTGCGCACTTTTGGAAAACGACACTTTCAAACTGCGGACGTTCGGGACTGTCCCCGATGCACTCACATTGTGGTTCCCGTGCAGGTCACAAGGCCATGAACAAGTGGCGCAACATTCGCGACAAGTACTACAAGGTCCGCAAGCAGGAGGAGGTCGACCGCCTTAAGGGCCTGAAGCGGTTCCGCAGGGGACAAACATGGACACTCTTTCCCAAGCTCGACCAGATCCTCGAACAGCGGCGATGGAACGGAGGCGCTGACACTTCAGGGTGAGGAACTCTTTCATTCTGAATAGGTGTGACGGAAGGTTGTTTAGTGTCCTTGCATTCAGTGATCCCGTGAACCAGCGCTTTCATGAGAAATTTTCAGTGGATCGTTCCGATACCCGCGATAATGATACGATGCCTGTGCAAAGGTGGTGGCAGAGCATCGGGTATCGTTAACCGAGTCACCAGGACAATCTACCAAAACTCTCTAGTGCCGTCTGCTCTTTCGGAAAAGAATAAACATATGAACTTAGAATCTTTCGTAATGAAAAGTTTCTTTTTATTGTTGTTTTAACACTAGTATTCCTATACTCGCTGTCAGCTTTCTGTGGCAATCTGAAGAGAGGAGGAAAGCGCGTTTACAGCGGTTGGTGCACCCACTCCCCTAGTATTGACTGCATTGCCACAGAAAGCTGACCGCGAGGTTAGGTATCATCTTCACTGGTTTATAATTGTCACGATCAGTTGACCAACCAACTAAAATGTGTCAGTTTACCCTTTTAATTAGCCAGTGAAGCACTGATCGAACGCAGGCAGACGCAGCTCTCGTGTCCAGTCTGCGCCTGATGCTCCATATGACGTGGAAAATGCAGTGCATCTTTACATGCTCCATCTTTGTCTTGATGAAGGCGCAGACCACACAATTATGACGAACGCTTGATTTTTAAAACCACTTTCCATGCACAAGTGCTCGCGCAAACAAAGCACTCTGTGCAGAGAAACGTCGTACTGATGACGGTGTTTCTGCCAGCACTGAAGGCAACTTGTGAGGTGGAGCGAATGCATGCAGTGTTGGTCGAGCACGGTAACAAACAGTGAAAGAGGTGATGTAAGGGGCATCATCTCTTTGTTTTTTTAATAAATCGGTATCGGTTAAAAGCAATTGTCCTGCATATCCGTCGTCACAGTTCAGTGCTATCCCTGCAGGGGTAAAAGACAACTTGTAAATTTACCATACCACCTGGTCAGCCTTGGGAAGCCATCGCTAACCGCAGCCCTGATTGAAATATCGAGTCTGGGCACACGAATTCTACTAAGACCCGCTTCAGACGGGGCAATTTTTCCAGCCATTCCAGGGTTGCTGGCAAGTTGTTCGGGTTCAACTCGAAACGGGCAAGTAACTCGGAACGACTCAGGGACGTTTGAAGCGGCAGCAGCCAATCAAAAGTGTTTTCAAGTGACCCCCCTGTGATGGCAGTGATGATAACCGAATACTTCATTTTAAAGGGACACTGACACCCCAAAAATTTTGGTTTTATTTTTTGCCAGGGTTTAACATTTAACACGGTATTAGAACACTACCCAGTCAGTATTTTGCTACAGTGTCACATACATTTTTAATGAAGTAAAAAAATGCAATTGCTCGAAACCAAACCCTTGGGAGGAAGAAGAAATATGGAGGAGGAGAGTGTTGCTAAAAATAACACAGCTGTGTTTTTTTTAGCAACACTTTTTTTTTTTCAATCAATGTATTTGCAGCTTTTTAGAAGCCACGAAAATGGGTATCATATTTTCTCTCTATTTTTAGTATTGAGTGCATTCCTTCAATGACCCTTGACTTTGATTATCTGTGGTGGTTGTGTCTAAACTATAGACAACAGCACGTGACCACAGAGAAGAGAGTGAGCTAGACTCAAACCGGCCAGTTCTCGATCGGTGGTTTCCGTGCGAAAAGAAAACGAATTTCGAGCCGCAAATTGTGTTCTGGGTAGTTGGGCTCTCACGTGTCATGTACAAATAAAAACCTTGTCAAGCATAAATGCCTTATCAGTGTTCCTTTAAAGGCATATATTTCAATCGTAATTTGAACCTGCCGTTGAAGATGGGATGACATTCTTAATACTTCCTTGTCGGCTCCCTTGTTGACCCTTTACATGACAGCGAGGGCAGCAGCCAGGCCGGCGTGTCACCGGCATGTGGCACCTTCGTATCCAGCAGCTGGGTGCAGGCAAACGTGGACCACGTCAACTTCACGTCAGGCCTGGCCTCGCTCGAGGCCATGTTACAGGATGAAAGTGGGTACGTTCGCGACTGCAACACCTCAGCGTTATTCCTTTTTGTTAAAACGTGTATTTACAAGGGCATCTAACTTGCCTACAAAAGCTCGAAGCTGTGATGACACGGAAGAAAATGGTTCATGGGCGAACACGCTGTTTACAAATGAGCCCGCATTATCTCCACTCCGCACACCTTTTGCCAAGTATGTGCTGCCACCTATACAAAAGACTGGGTTCAAGGTGAAGTGGCTAGAGAACAACACGTGCACAAAGCCTCCTCCATCCAATCCACAATCAAAACGTCAGCTACATCCGGTTTGCCCATTGAGCTGCTGTAACCTAAATACAGTTCCCCCAAACTTTGCCCTTGTTTCCTTCCCGGGTTATCTTCGCCCCCCAAAGTTGATACAAAGAAACCATCTTCCCTCTGCTCGGCCAGAAAAAAAGAATCTAGGAGCCTCCTTAAAATATTAACAAAAAGAAACTATGCCTTCTCTGGAGCTGCTGCCAGAAGAGATGTAATACGATAGCATTTCGGATCCTTCGCACCTCTTCAAATGTCCGACAAGCTCGGTGCTCTCTGTCTGTCTCAGCGTGGTGCCATTTTTGCGCCGCTTCTTCCTACATGAACGGTTTATAATTAGACGCCATTCCAAGTTTTCTCACCAAATTTAACGAGAGAAATGAATCGGTGTACAGCTTTACAGCAATTCAGGTTTTACCGTTGTTATATCTAGCAGGGAAACGCTTCCCGCTACATATAGCGGCCAAATTTTAATTGGTGTATAGTTGCACATTATATTTCAGGATTCCCGCTAAGTTTTGCAATCTAGCTGTGACGGATGGACGCTCACAATCTCAGTTTTTTAGCCCTAAAAATGCTATTGCATTTAAAGAAAAAAGAAATTGAGGTATTTCATGCCTCGTGGAATTACCAGATTAATCTTGGAACTTTTTCCATAGGGGACCGATGCCGCAAGTGAAGCAGGAGCCGCCGGAGCCCCTGGAGATGATAATTTCAGAAGAGCAAGACGCCACGTACGCATAGCACAATTCACGTCTATGAGAAAGGACCCTGTCCTGTCAGAGTTCCCTTTGCCAGAGTTTGTCTGTACCATGAACGGCTTCTCCAGTTTCATTTATACATAAGCAGCTCTCCAACACTCAAGTACAGCCTCTGGGCGCCGTCATCTTGCTGCTGGTGTGTGTAGATCGTCTGACCTTGTTAAAGGGTAACTGCAAAGAAAAAAAAAGTGTTTTTTTAAACAGCCTATTTAGGATAAGCATGTCACAAAACAAATCTTCCGCGAAAAAACAAATTTCTTGTAGCAATATTTACGCCACAGGACGTAATTTAGTCGGAGTCACAACCTCTCCACATTTGAAACTCCCGCTCTTTCGACGCGCGCGGAGTGGCTGGAATACGTCACTCCGTGACGTAGAGCAGCCACTCTGTGACGTATAATACCAACTTTGTGGCGCGCGATTAAAAACAAACAAAATAGCCGCAAACTAAAATCAGTCCCACAAGATAAATATTGCTGTAAAAAAATTTGTTTTTGTTGGAAAAATTGTTTTGTGACATGCTTGTCCCAATTAAGCTATTTAAAAATACACTTTTTTTCTTTGCACTTACGCTTTAAGGCGTGCCCACAGTTTCCAGATTGGTTCCCCAACGAAGCGCTTTCCGCCAACAATTACTAAACTATTTTTTATAAAAATTTAAAAAAATGCGTAAAGTGCAAGCGAGCTGTTGTGAATTTAACATGATGGTAAGCCATGAGACCGCATGGGATGAAAAAGATGAGGATATACAGCGCGGATGAAGTAGATTTTGCGAGTCTGAGGCGCTGTCTGCACTCTTTTTTTGTACCTCATCCCGTTCTAATTATTTCCCACCCAGTCTCAGGGTTTAGCATCACGTTAGCTTTTAAACTATGGACCAGCTGATCCATGCCATAGGGTCGCCATGTACCGTCTTTCTTGCGCACCAAAAGACATTTGCAACAGTAACAGATCAGCATATGCTGCGTTTACCCATGATGCATAGCCTTTACTATTACCTTGATCGAGACAGAATAAGCTTCGAAAGTTCCCAGAGATTCAGTATACAAGCGATGAGTGAAGTGCACTTGGTCACTGAGCGTGTCGTTGAGCACGCTCTGTGTCTCAGCGAGACTGTGCACTTGCTGCATTGAGACAGCACTCTCTCTGTCCCAGTGCTGTTTATGCACAGCTGCCTGAACTACAAAGAGGTGGCTCTTCTGCAGATCTTGCCATGAAGACGTGGTGGACTCGGAACGTGAAGATGAGATCGCCATGGAAGCCATGGAGCACAGCATCGCCATTGCCAAACAGGTTTTCCAAAGGTATACTCCACGTGGTACTGACATTTATGAGCAATGCTTAACCAGTTCTCGTGCAAGGAGGCCAGTTGCCTACGCTCCCAGCTCACGTCCCAATTAAATACGGTCAGAAAAAATGCGAAAATAATCCTTAAAAGGGCCGTGTAACAATATTGAGTCGGAATGTTTCTCATTTTATGCAAGCTTACTGGCACTAGTGGGTCCTAAGTACACTCGCACACAACGCCACTGACCTAGAAGCTTCCTTGTCGCTGCGTAATTTCGAGGATAAAAGTGGACGTTTTCTCTCGGTCTCTCCATCGCAAAACTTAACGACATAGTAAAGATCTTATTCTGCTCGTTGTCAACAGTGATATATCCCCAGGATTTTGTCATCAAGCGTAGTGATCCCCGTGGCGACGATATTGAAAGAGCAACTCTGCTTCATTTTTGTTTTTGAAAAAAACAATGCAGTCCTCTTCAGTATCACCCGGAAGACCACACGTTAAATATTACGACATAGTTCTGTTTATATGTTTCTTAAACACTCCGGCGAACTTTGCAGCTCACCAAGTTGCTGAAATCAGCTGACTCGAGCGGGCGAATTGAGGCGCGACCAACATTGAGTTGAGGGGCGTAGCCAACATTGAGCTAAACGTCATTGCCATTGCCCCCTTTCGTTTGTTTTTACTTCTCCGGGCAAGCGTAACGGGCGACGTCAGCAACGTTTCCTCTCGGCGCTCAGCGATGTCCACGTGATCGTCGCACCTGCGCAGCGCGCTCCTTGAGAGCCGTCCGGCCGCCCCACCGTGGTCCCACCGTTACCGCCATCTCCCGCGTCACAACCGCCGTCGCCGTCTCGCCGTTTGTGATTATTGTCTCTCGGAGTTTCGTCCACATACGAACACAACGTGCGCAGACTTATGCAGCAGTTGTGCAGACATCATCGAATGTCAGACACTGTGATGAAGAGTGCGGTGCAGACGACACTTGCGCCTTGCACACACCCGCCCCAGTCCCACCCGTTGTTGCGTAAAGGATCACGTAAAATCTCGTACCACGTGACAGCCATGTCACGTGGTACGTGACATGGCGGCCCGAGGACAATGTTGCCGGATGGAGCCGAAATTTCAGTTTCTACTTATTTTTAAAAATTGGATTTAGATATACATATCCTATTTTTCGTGAAGCAAATGGCGTAGTGTCTTTTACTAGGGCTTTTTAATGCGAAATTACTCATTATCCTGAAATCTTCGGAATTGAGCGGAGTTGCGCTTTAAATGCCTCAACACGCATTCGGATATAGTAGATCGTGCCCAATCGCTGCGATGACTGGAATAGCCGAACATTAACAATGTGTGGAACACAGCGCACATCCTGTGCTTTGCCCAACCCAGTGCTTGGCTATGATAAAAATCGGTGGCATATAATTTGCTCCAGATCACGTGGCTGCTTGTTCAGGTTGCGAGTTGAGGGGGTGAATACCGTGCGTTTTTCTTTAACCAGCTCGCCTCCTTCTTGCTTTAACTTTTTCTCGAACGTTTTCTGCGACTGCCTTTGCACAGGGAAGAAAAAAAAACAACTGAAGCGTGTTTCATAGGTTATGAATGTCAAAGACTAATGGCATGTGATATTTACTGAAAGTACAAGAATCGTTGCATTGCCCTTTTAACTACATGAGCGCCTCATCTATACTCAGTTTCACAGTAACTTGGTGAACTCTGGAGGCTAGGGCCCCGCGATCCAATAAGAGCGTCGGAGCGAGACAAGTGACCCGACGTCGTGGGAGCATTTGTGTCACCACGCTAAATGCGAGGCTTGGAGGGACTGGCTGTCGTCTGCTTCAAAACCAAACAACTTCGGATGAACGTCCACCGCAGCAACATCTGTCTGCTAGAATAGCGAGCACTTAGGGAACAGTTTATGAGACAACCATATGCTCACTTTAGGCTTGAATCTGTGACGGGTGCTACTAATGCCAGGCCACAGTGCAATGTTTTGAGCGGTAACGGCCGATTACACGGCTGCAATCGCCAACGACCACGGCGCTAGAAGGCGGAAAAAATCGAGCAAATACGGATGTGGCGTCACTTATTTGGTTTAAATATAATTGACTCATAAGCTTGTGATTATTCATTCTTTATTCATATCTTCTCGTTATAAATGGAATCGCGCAAGTTCAATTTCCATTAAGAGAAAAACAAACCTAGAACTACTTTTTGTCGCGGAGGGCTCTGTTGCTGTGGCGGTAACGAGGCCCCGGTAGCCTCGACCACGGAGTATTATCACGTCCCTTGCCCCGGTGCCCTTATTGGGTCGCGGGGCCTCAGCCTCCACAGTTCGCCAAGCTACCGTGAAACAGAGTATAGAGACAGCATTGTAGATCCTTCCTAAAGTCAGTAGAGTGGACGTCCCAGAAAGAGTAGATGTCTCTAGGACATCCAAAGGACATTCTTAGAGGATTCAGGTGTCCGATACATCTCCGCACTGGACCACAGGCTTTTTCTGGGGTCAGCGACTGTATGCTGTCGGGAAGTATGATTCTAGAAGGTAGGGCATGTCAGTGATTGAACACGAAAGCGGGAGGGACATATAGGACAAACAGATGACACGGCAGCCTGATTTGTTCTCTGCGTCACTCTCGTCTTCGTATTCAGGTCCGTTGGATCCACCAACATCATCTTCTAGATAGCTTGTTTGGCCATGCCAGGCGAAGATGCCGAGTCGGCACACTATCAGCGTCGAAAGCCGGACCTTTGAGAGCGCTTTGCAATTAGTGTGTATACACTTTGCTTGTTACCACGCACAAGGTGGCTCTACAATGCAGAACATCGATACTAGCGGAGTGTGGACAGACACCCAGATGGCAGGAGCACTTGACTGTGGGACTGCTGTAGGCGCAGGCTCTACGCAAACGGCCAACGAGGGGTGGAGACTACGGAGAGAAGGTTAGAATATTAGTGGCTACTCGCAAAGGGGCTAAGAAAACCCCCCAGGCCAGGACCCCAGCTTTACGGGACTGCGCGATTTAAAGGGAACAGCCACAAATAATCATCATTGTCAACATCAACGATGACGTCATGCGCAGAGTCTTCCTGAGTGTATGGATGATGATCAGTAATCACACTGTCTCACTCGCGCGTAGGCGAAAAGGGGAGTTCCGAGAAGCAGTCAGGCGTCTTGCTTCGGACAATGGCGACGTCACTTCAGGCGGTGTCGTCAGCTGCGACGTCACTTCCTCTGGCCCTCGACTGGACGCTGAGACACAGACGGAGCCGTCGGGCACCCGCCCAGCCGACGACGCGAACGCCGTCCGTGATCGAGGCGCCGGAGCCGTCGGCGTGACCGCAAACGACGGACTAGACCACTTTGGTCTGTTCGTAGCGCAGCGGCTACGCACGCTGGAGGGTTCACCCCACCAAGCCCCGCTGATGACCGCCATCTTGAAACTCGTCTGTGAACCATTCTCATCGTCCTCCATCACGTCGTAAGTTGTTTTGTACAGCAATAAATTTTTGGTCGTTGTAGTCTCGTGTGGTGTGCCAGCAGTTGTAGACGAGGGAAACTCGGACAAGTTGGCGCAACTCGGCAGTGGCATATAGACCAACACGGGGCTCCGAGCATGGCGCATGCGCAGACGTTTCACACCATGCAAATCTGGATTCTGTGCATGAGCAGGACCCATGCCTGGTGTGGGCAAACGCAGACTTGTTTGTAAACTGCGCGTTGGCCTGTAGGCGGTGCTTACGCCTTTCTCCCCTCGCGCCTGGGACGTACACTGCGCATGCACAAAAAACAGCTTTGAGGGAGGGTGAGGTGTCTGCGCAAGCAACTGAATGGGTGGTTGCATCCAGCTGAGCCCTTTCTATCTGGCGGTGGCTTGTGCCATCTAGCCAGCGTTTTTCATATCAACAGTTAGTTTCTACCTAATAAACAAAACATTAAGGTTTATCCTTTTAATGGCAGTACTCAAAAGTTATGATCAGTGTAACGACAGCAAAATAATAAAGTGAATTTATTTTCACCCTCCGCTTATGCCACCAGTCATACAGCTTCTACTAGATCATCTCTACCTTTTAACATCTATTTTTCCTTCGCTGCCCTTACACCGTGTGTCTTGCCTTTAGCAACAGCAGAGTGAATCCCAATTCACAATACAGCGCCAAATGATTAGACGTCCCCTCTGCACTGGCTTCACACACTGCATCTTTAATCTTATTATTTTGTAGCACTCTCATCCCTTTAGCGTAGGTTCTCTATGTTGTTACCAGGCGATACCAACATCTAGAGAAAAAAAAAAAAACATGTTTTAGTGCTAAAAATTTTTTTTTTTTATATGGTAGAGTTGAAAGTAGAAGTAGAATTCAGAGTTGAAACACTTTGAATTATGGTACATGAATCAATCTTAGCAGGACCGAGTCAAATAAAAGTGATTAAACGAACGAAAATATTTATGGAAACTCCGTGCGCCAAAATATATGATCTCAACACCTATTGAATTTCATTCCATTCAATTCACCCGGTGAAAACTGCTGGGCAGTCAGTCTTTTAATTCGAAAATTTGAATAAATAGGCTGAATTGAAAATTGGTAAGTCATTCAAACTCCGGTATGAAAGCCAGCTATGCGAGCTCAGATTACACTCTTGTGTAAAAGAGAGCTTGAATGGCGAAAAGCTACAGTTGGTACCGCTTTTGACTCCCCCTGGCAGTCGTCTTTCTTTTAACTCCCCCCAAAAAGTTCTTCAGAAAGCAACGAGATTGGTGACGAAATTGGCAACTTGCTACATTTGTTCCTTCGTGTATTCGAACTGGGTATGTCATAGCCCCACTTAAAGAATTATTACAGCTCAGCGAGCGTAAAGTTTGTCATAGTTATTTCCTCACCTGATCAAACCAAACAAAGCTGTGCATACTGTATTTCTTGTTTCTTTAAATTTTCTTTCAGTTTAGTGTAAACATGCATGGTTTTAAGATATTGAAAATATACCCATGATCCGCCACCGATGGTTGAGTTTACTGCAGTCGGAGTTCCGGTACTAAGAGTGGAAGCATCTTATTCCCTTGTTGGTGTAAATGGTAAGTTACTCCTTTGATTGTAAATTTACTCTCTATAATCACGTGTCATTTTAATGTGCCATTGCTATTTTGTTCTTTTGCACGGTCTCCTGTACTTTGGAGGCTTTCACCACTGAGATACGCCCGGGCTCGGTGAACTGGCATTACAGGTGCTGATTTGTCTCTGAGTGATGCGCCAAACAAAAACTTGTACAGTTAATTCAAAATTCACTGCAAGCAGCAGCAAAAAAGAAAAGAAAAAGTCGTAAGCTTAAACTCGTCTCTACCTCAACCCTAGCGTGCGGAAAAAAAAAAAAAAAAGAAAAAGAGAGAAAAGAAAAAAAAAAAGGAAAACTTCGGATAAGCAAAACAAACACTGACCGGGAAAGTGTATGGGCTCGCTAACAGGTAGATGCTCGAGTAGAGGTGTCGAAATCAATGAAACCGGCCGCCCCACCGCGCCAGGAACACGCGCAAAGAAAAAAAAAAGCTAAAAAATAAAACATCCGCTCAAGAAACAAACCGTGGAGCGAAAAAAAAAACAAAACAAAGAACACTCACCGTCTTGCATTTTCCGTAAGAAAAAACCGTCCGTTCCACGAAGCATCCGCCTTGCAATGTATCCAAAAGAGCGCGGAATCACTACAGTCGAAAAAAAGGTGTGAACACTTCGTACCGCGCACCGATTCGCGGTATTTCACTCGTAAACGAGTGATTTCCGGGTGACTTCCTCAGAGCCAAGATGCCGGCGAAAATCAGCCGGCTACCAGCTGATCGTGTGGCATCCCAGGATGCCTCACGACTCGTTTTGTCCCTCTTTAGCTTTACTGCTCAAAGATGGCGCTAAAAACGTTTATATTGCTCTAGCGATTTTTGAGCTTTTTGAAGGGCATCAAGTTAAACTAACTCATATATGGTGTTTTTTCATAACTGTTAGAAGGCTTTAGAGAGGGTACTGACAGCATAGAATTGTGTTTGGAACTAGAGTTAAGTGTTAATCGAGCCCACAAGATGGCGCTACAACTGCTACAGGTTTCGGCATTTGTGTCGTTTTTGCGCGTGTTTCTTCGGTGGTTGTACTTTCTCCGTAAATCGCTTTGCAAAATGGAGTGAATAAACCCATTTATTTTGTAATAATTCCGAAGCATGTTGTCTAAAAATGAAGGAGGGTTCCTGTTTTTCTCGCTCTGGGTGTTTGCAGGCACTTCGGGTTCTTCGGGTACGGGCTTCTACTGTCATACCTCCGTTCAAGTTATTTTGTTCTAGCCTTTATTTAACGGAGACATTCGCTCATGTTCAGGCGTTTAAAAAAGGAACATCAAAGGCCTCTAAATCGAGTGCGCTTTCCCGCAATGCAAAAAAAAGTAAAAAAAAAAAAAAACTACTTGCAGTTTTTGCATTTTATTGTAAGATCGCCCATAAAACCGGCCCCTCAATGTTTAAATGAGAGAGAGAAAAAGTATATGTTCTCTTTTTTTTAATTTTTTTCCCCAGACACCGTTGGTTCAGGAAGTTCAGGCACGGGAATGCGCGCGAGCAGATGCTCAAGCAGCTCCTCCCTCCTCTTCCCACTTTAGCTGAGCAAACGCTGGAGAGGAGGTCGCCTCCTCTCCAGCGTTCCGTTTGCTAAAGTTACCGCGGCTTCTCCGATTACCTCAGGTTATGTAAAACGACAGTATTTTGCTCGTTTGAAAACGGGTCTTTAGTACTGTCCAATATTGACATTTATTTTTAGCTCAAGAGAGCCACTTTGATTGGAATCACAGAATTATGAACTACTTTTCTGAATGCACCAGTTTTCCTGAACCAAATCTCCTGTCGAGATATGGTTTGAGAATGTTTTGGTTAGAAAATGGCACGAACGAAGGGTGCCACTAGAAATGATAGGGGTAACAGGTCATTCTAGTCCTTCCAAAAGCAGTCAGATTACTGCTGTAACTACTACATAATAAAATTTTCAAAAAATTACTTCAAGAAGTAACGAGTCTTAGCTGCACTGACCTTTTTTTGTACTTGTGATGGGTTGTGTTCTTCAACTGTGTCCGCTTTCACGCCTTTTTTTACAGGCGCATTAGACACAAAATCGACGCTCACTGATATTGCAAGTGGAAGACGCAAGCAGACGAGTGCCACAGACAAGTTATTCCTTTAAAAAAAAAAAAGCTTAAAATAGCTGTTTCTTTTATTCAGTGACTCCCATACAGAAAAAAAAAAGGCAAGGGGGGGACCGATCTTCGGAGCTGTGTATACACAAGGGTGCAAAGAGCGGTCAGGATCAAAAAATCTCTACAAGGTTCCTCTGATTCAACCGAAAATTTTATACACACATTCCCGCTCATCTGCCTCATACAAAAAGTCACACAGTTTTTTTTTTTTTTTTTATCGCTCATCCAAAAAGTTTTTTGGGTGTGACATTAGATAGAGGGGTAAAGATGTTACACTATGCACACATGTCAGCTGTGTGTGTGTGTTGTGTCTGTGTGTGAGCATGTTTTTTTTTGTTTTTTTCGCATATACCGTATATTATATATATATATATATATATATTATATATATTACCGTAAGCTCATAAAACTTTCTCTCAAAATAATGATGGCAGTAACAATTCAAAAAGGTAAGGAAGAACGAAACTGTCGTCAATGGCAGAAGTTATGTACACGTTTCAGGACAGAAGGTCCGCCCTTTCATATTTGTCGGCGGACAGTGCTCCTCCCAAAGAAACATAATTAGACACTAAACAAATCTGGAACTTCCCATTTCGAGATTGCTTGTACTATTTACATGGCATCGTTCCAAGATGAAAACATTAAAAGACGCACACACTCCCACACGCACACAGACTGTTGGAAAAAAAAAAAAGTAGCCACCAGAGTAGCAGGTCGGACATCAACAACCGTCGACCAAACACTCCCAATGTCGAGACACTGTGGCAGCCAAAACTTGTAAAAACGCTTTCGACAGGCTGAAGTCAACAGTTCCGTCACAAAGACTTGCACCTCCCAATACATCGATCACGACTGCACTTATGAACATGCAATGAAAACGGATAAACTCGCGCCGACCAATCAAACCAGTGACTTTGCCTTTTTGTGGCGGGGTTGCACGAGTAATGGCAATACAAAATGATGTGTTCCTTTTCTAGAAACAACCATGTTGAGATTGGCATCAAAGCAAAAAAAAAAATGCAACACAAAACATGACAAATAGTTCACATTTGAACTGTGCACGCCGGTCAGTAACCATAAAATATTTCTGCAGAACCAGAAGAACAAGCGGCAATACAAAGAACGGTCGTTAAAATAAGACGGCAGTCGCGTCAACTCAATCGAACAATGCCAAGCACGATTACACAATGCTTCCCCAATTAAAGGTTCAGCTTGAGAAACGCCAAAAGATCTTCGAAAGCACAAGCCTGAAATCGTCACATGGCGTTGATTGCCCGTTTCGTTTTGACACTAACATCTGTTACTGAAGAGCCTTACTTCCACGATCAATTAGGACTACCCGGCGCATTAGCACAATAGCATTTCTTTGGCGTCGTTTGGTTTGTCCACAGAAGCAACGGAATGCACAGGAGAACAGAGTCGCCGAGAGCTCGAGCGCCAAAAAAACATACCGAAATAATTCCTCCGCAACTGCCGCTCAAAGACGCCTCTCCTCGTATTCTTTATCTCGGCCAAAAGTGGCAAGTATGAAAACCAAGCGTACAAATAGTTGCAATATGGAACGCCAGTTTCGTCTGCTTCTTGCACAGGGGTTGTATGTCGAAATGCCGAGCTCTTATTGGCCAACTGAAAAAAAGTGGGTGGATCTCAAGGCACCTAGCATTGAGGTTCACCTACTACCCTTTCAATCAAAGCCAATTGGAGCTCGGCGTCGTTCTGACGTCGCCGCAACTTCTGCGCAAGAAACGGACGACTTGCTCTCTGCATACTGATTTAGGAAAGCAAGTTTTACAACCCTACAACCCTGTCTGCGACCAGGAAACTTCTCTTCTTCACAATCTCTCGTGGCCAAAAGATAGATGTAGACGTTGACAGAGCGAGAACAGCGGGGCGTGTCTTTCGAATGTCCGGCCTCCAGCAGGCGCTCTACGCCTACCGTGCGTGCATGAAACGCCGATGCGTCGTCAAAGGTAGCAGCTCCTGCTGGAGCAGGTAGGACAACCAAAAGCTCCTCCCTGCTATTCTCACCATGTCAGTAACGAAAGCAAGCAAAAACATTTTGACAAGCCCGCAAAAAAAAAATGGCGACAAAAATAAAAAGAAGACAAAAACCAGAAGAATCAGAGTTCACTCATTTCTGTTTGCACTGAGCTGAACATTGCTCACAACCGTTTACAAACGCCGGGCACGATGTATTGCTGGCGGCGAGATAACAAACACCATCTGGGGTGGGGGGCAAGAGCTGATGCTCCTAAACCTAGGACAACATACTCTGTGTGTAAGTACAGTGGGTTCAAGCACGGTGCCACGGTAACCGCAACCTCTACAAACTCTTCCCTCCGTGTGGGACGTACCGTGTCTCAGTAAACGTGACCAATCGGTTCCTCCTACACGCTAGCAAACAGAAATGTGCATTACAATCTTCAGACTCGAGAGACGTTAAAAATATTCTTGGTTCCTTGCTATGTCCTGCCAACGAACTGTAGTGGCAGCGGAGACACTGCACACTGCTGTACAGAGTTGCACTGCGTGTGTGAATTTGGCAAACTAATGTCCCCCTAAATGTAGCAAACGGTGTTCGCGTGACGACAAGACATCATGTGGCACTGCGACATCCCATGGTACCGCAACGTCATGTCACACAGAATTCCCAGGAAATTTAGCGGAAAAATTTACGTGGTAAATCTGGCGAGGAACTTTCAATGCCATATTTAGGAGGGAAATTGTGACGTCACGTGACACTGTTATGTCACAATGTCAAGCCACCGTGATTCCCCACCAAATTTAGAGAAGAAATTTTCCTGCTCCAGTTAACACGCAGCGGCATCTGCTACAAAACCTAGAAAATAATGGCTATCACTAAAAATAATCCGACGAACTGGGAGTACAGTTAGCGTATGTCTCTTGTGCCTCGGCATTGCACTGTCAGCAGCGTTGTGTTCTGTCCAGGGGCTATTAAAGTTGAACAATAGAGATTGCACGTACGAGGAACCACACTGAACGTGCGAGCATCGGAAAAGAAGGTTTCGAAAGGTAGCGGTCACCCGACCGACACTGAACCACGAGTGAGCAAAGGTGTGTGGGCTTTGACGGGCCCAGTGAATCGTCTCCCTCAATCTCCACCCCGATTCATAGTAAAGATTTTTTTTCCGCTTGGCACTTGTTTGCTTATGTTCTCTATCTCGGACTCAGACGAAACTAAAAACACAGGGTCGCGGGAAACCGGACACTTCTGATGCGGTCGACGTGGCACCGCAACTTCCGCATTGCCCGCAACTTCCGTTTTGGGTCGGTTAGACGGGACGTGGTATCGCACCTGAACTCGAACCTGTCCATGGATTCGAAATGGCTGCTCGAGGCAGAGACCAACAACCTCTCTTTTGTACGGCTTCACTCAAAATTTCATTTGGCGGCCGCTCACTTGGTAACCACTCCAGCGTGGTAAAATCGACGCCACATTTTCCATAAGATTTCGTTCTTCCCTCATTCTGGCTTGGGCCAGAAATCAACCATGTTGCGATTCACTTACTGCATGCAGCTATGGTCGGTTTCACCTTACGACGGACAGCAGCAGACGCAACTACCCACTCCGGCCAACCCTGCACTGCAATTATATCACGTGACTATGCGCCCCGAGGGTCACACAAAGCATGCGTGACTTGGGTTGGCTTCAATGGCTCGTAGCGTTTTCCGCAATCCATCGTAGGGCGAGAATGGAATAGAATAACCAACGAAGAGACGAGTAAGCGTGGCAAAACGTGGGGAGTAAGGTTGGGCAGCTTCGGAATTTCTTCGACTTAGAAACCAGGTACTGTGCAGTTTAACATCTTGTGGACCAAACTCGATAGGCGCTCTGGTTTGCGTACAGAGGGCACTGTTAAAAGTTCACTAAACTTAAAAAGAACACAAAAAAAACAAAAAAACATTTGTTTTTTTTAGGTTTGCGTGTTGTCGTCCACCATGCAACGACACCTATGAGCGCCGACCTGCTCACGTTGCAAGCAGACGGGCAGTTGTCGAAACATGCTCTCGAAAACTGTGACAAGTGCCATTCCCTCGTCACTTGGTGCATTTGTACATTTACTGGCCTCGCGTCGGGAATGAAAAGAAACGTCCCCACACACCCGAAAACAGCGGCGTCTCACAACACTGTCAAAGACATATTGCACTCGTAATTGGAAAGACCTCGTACACTTTGCCGTAATACTGACTCATCCTTCTCACTTGTGCGCGGAGAAACCGAACAACAACGGGGGAAGCAGCAGACTTCCTCCAACTTCTGTAGATAAATAACGAGAAAGAAAGAGACCTTCCCGAAAGCACGCGGCCCTCCAACTTGCAGCGTTTTCTCATGAGAATATCGAAGCACCCAGTTTAGGACAGTCTGAAAATAGAGCAGATTTGGTCACCAATTTCCTCGGCTTCGACGAGATGACTCGGCTTTAACACCACTCTTTACAATGTCTCGGTCGGCGCTTAATGGGCGTTTCCGAATTCGTCTACTGCTTCGTGTAACTGAGGCGGAACGGTTAGCGACAGCTGCCGCGCCGACGTTGCCGGACACGCAATGAAAGGATCCACAGTTGCATTAAATTCCAAAACTCGCATCCTACGAATGAGAATTTCACAAATGCAAGCATTGCTTCGAAGAAAAGTTGCTGCCGGAAAGAGGGCACCTTTATCTAGCTATTTATCTAGCCCTTTCTGCGCTACTCTCTCAATATGAAAAGCCAGAAAGTAACAATACCTCAACAGGCGAGAGCACCCGGTAAACAATACTGCCACTTTTCCAGCCACCGAGACATTGGCGAAGCGTGCTCCGCATTGTCTTCGCCTTCTTTCCAAACTCGCACGTTCCAACTAAAAGTAATTGCAGACCAGCCAGACGTCAAAGGGCCGCGTCGGAGCGTCGGAACGTCGGGGATCCACCAACCCGAAAGGCGAGAACTTTCCGAGCCCGGTAATAACACGGGGGTCCCAAAAATGCTAAGATTGGCAAATGGGCCCGGCCAACGTGCTGTGACTCAAGTTCAAACCCAAGCCGGCGCGAATGATTATCAAGAACGGCAGCCGCACGCACGCCTCGGCCTCTTTTGCCGCCAAGCGGATTGCCTGCGCACACTTCCACGGTGTCCTCTTTTCGACGCATCCAATGCCATGGTGAGAAACGGATTTGTGTGGACTGCCAGGGAATCGATGAAAGACAGTTCAAAATGGCGATCGCGTGGTAACCACAGCACAAAAGCAGTCGGCACCTCGTAAAACACACGCGAGAAAAGCTTCTTAAAAAGAGTTTCCCGTAAAAACTCGTGGTCATTGACGGTAACCCATACTAGCGGTCAGTCGACGGCCACGAGACCGTTGATGAGAGTTTGGGAAGATTATCCTCGCACATCTTGTGGCTCCAGCGGCACGTGCGGACGTTCAGCGTCGAGACGTTGACGTTAAATGCACCTCAACCACATACATTTTCCCTGCTTGGCTCGTCGTCTGAAGTTCTTACAGGCCAACATGCCCAACACGAATTTGGAACAAGTCTTTCGAACGGAGCGGCAAGCAACAAAAAGATTTGATTCGAGATAAAGGGCACGGGAAAAGAAGCCGGTGATCGTAATGGAGTGGAACGTCGCAGATTATCGGATTTGTCAAGCTTCGAGTCCATACATCAGCACACAACCGGCTGAGGGAGCGCTGGAAAGGGAAAAGGGAGATCATGCACGCTTCGTAATATGGGACAGCTATGTACAGACGGGGAGCTAACGGGCCTCCCCATAAAGCATCTCGCGGCGATCATCGTCCGAAGCACGAGCGTGGGTTTGCACAGACATAACAGCGATCGAGTCGGACATAAGCACCGCTCAAAGACGTAAACAAAAGGAAGCGAGCTGTGGTCCAAAATAAACATCTCTTAAAACGTTTGTCCGCGTCTCAAAAGCTTCCTGCCCGGCTGCGTATTCGTATCGTGCAAGCTCTCGTGCGACCTAGAGCTGCCGGAGATGACTTTTAGAATAGCCGCAAATTGGTTTCCTTCTCATCGATTATTTCCTCCTTGAATCGCGCAGGTCATGCTACGAATGTAAACAACTTTAAAAATGATAACGCTTAAAAAAAAATATCTCCGCTGTTTGACAGCGGAGATTTCGCTCTTTGTGTCACGACACAGGGGTGTCGATGCGATTCCATTCCTCTAATCGACGGCGGAGACCTCGCTACTTGCATTGCAATGCAGCGGTCTCAATGCAATAGCATTTTCTGAGAAATGTTTCTGCCGGGCCAGCCACCAGAATTTGCGACCGACCTTTGGAACACTGCGAGACCAAGCTCGACACCCGCGGCAAACAGGAGAGAGCGTTTCACCGCCACGACACCACCACATCGCTGAGAATCCGCATTGTGCCCTTGAGCGGAGCGCTTGTGCGACCAGGCCATCTTCTTCGGGATGGTAAAGAGTTTGTCGTACCGGCAGTTGTCGGCGGTGGATGCTTTTGTGTCCCACGTCACGGACTAGCACAACGTCTGGCACTCCTTCTCGAGTCTCGTGGGGCAGCACACGGGGAAGGCAGCAAAACAAAAAAAGGGGTAGGCTGCCAGCTCCAAGAACGGGCACTGTGGATCGGTCCCGCTTTTTGGGCGTTCCTCGAGTTGCGGCCCCTGAAAATAGAAGACGACGGCGAAACGTGAGTCACGACCAGGGGGATGAGACGAACGAGCTTGCGGAAATTCGTTGCAAGTGCCACGAGGGAGAGAGTATATTAAGGTGGCGGGAAAGCACATAGGTGTCTTACAATGAGTCTGGGATTGGTGGGGATCTCTATTCGTAGCATGTGTATGAGACTTGCATGCTTTTCATTCTCTTTTATGAGTTCTTGATCATTAGCTGCCAGGATGTCGGGCACTGCTATCGTCTGTTAAACAAAACTCGCACGCAATCTGTGCGAAGTCGCACATCACGGGTGTATTACAGCGTCACACTTTTCAATGAGAAAAATCAATCGCTATTCTGCAGCAATCTCCAGCTGGCTAATAGCCTGCTGCAACGTATGAGCTGAAGGAGTGTTTCCACCCACAGCAAACAACATTGCAATAACTCCAAGTGTGCCCATAGACTGATGTTAGTTCTAGGGCGCCAACAGATGTCAGAAAGGCAAAGTGTTTGTGAAGAGCGGTGTAGCAACAACTTCCCTTTGGGAACCTCCCTTCGAAGAAGAGCCTTCCTTTTTGCCGTTCATAGTTGCAACTGAACACAGACATTAGAACACCGGCAGTAAGCCACGACACCGCATTTCTAAAATGCGCACTTCGGTGAAACGCAGTGCAAACGAGGAAAGCTGCGTGCTCACCTCAGCAGTAGCCGCCGCCGTTGCCGCTCTCGCACGAGTCCAGGGGCTCCTGTTTGAGCCACGACGGGAAGTCCGTGGCCCTGCAGAGGTCCTCCCCGGGCTCGTACGTCGACGGGTACGCCCAATTGGAGCCCGGCACTGGAGGGGGCGGGCTCGGCTGCTGTGGCCCGCCCACCCCGCACATCCCGCCTGCCGGCCCCGCCTCCAGCTCTCGATTGCTCTGTCCGTATTCTACTGCCCTCTGCTGCTGCTGCTGCTGTGGCCAATGGGGCTGTCCCCCATAGGCAGGGGGCGGGGCATAGCCCTCCTGGTAGTAAGGGGGCGGAGCCAACCGCTGGTAAAGCCCTGCCTGCTGCTGGAAGTAGCCTTCCCCCGCCGCAGCGTTGTGGTAGTCCATTTGTTGCTGGTGCTGTTGCTGTAGTTGCTGACGTAGTTGATGCTGCTGGTGTAGCTGATGATGTTGCTGTTGTTGATGTTGTTGCTGTTGTTGATGTTGCTGCTGCTGTTGCTGCTGGTGGGGTGTGAGTTGCTGACCGGCGTAGTCGACGGGTGGGTTGACGGTGTCACTTTTTTTCTTTCGGCCCCGTTTCTTCGGGGCCGGCGGCTCCGGGAGTTGCGGCTGGTAGCTGCCAGTCATTGGCTGGGTTCCCGGTTCCTCCTTCACCTGTAAGAGGAATTCGTTACGTACACACTCGAGAACCAAAAACACGGAGGAGAGGAAAAAATCTAAATGTTAGGACCACGAACAAGGAGGAGGAAGGGCCACGCTGGCAGCAGTCGCAAAAGTGCGCCTATAGGAAGTTGCATCTGGCTCTCGCACTCTGATCCAATAAACGTTGATGCCGCGTCAGTGTCATTATTGTCTGTTTACGTCAACTGTCTAAATTTCAGAGCGCAGCTCTTAGGTGCCCGTTTCCGTATTGAGCGGCGTGAACGTCGCTGTCCGAGTAATTGCGCGTGTTGCATTGTGGGACGGCACAGTTTGCTTGCTAAATTTGGCGGAGAAACTGAATTAATGTTGAGGTCATGTGACAACCGTTTTACCGCTAAATTAAGTATGGAAGAGGAGGAGGGGAGGACATGGAGGAGGAGGAAGAGGACACGGAAGAGAAGGAGGGTGCAGAACCAGTATGTGAGGAGAGTGATCTATATCTGAGCATATATATATATATATATTTATTTCTTAAATTTGTTCAGTATGGTATATCACAAAATCAATATACCTCAAGAGCTGCGCTCTAATTTCGCATTACAGAGATTTGTAAATGTCTTTCATTTTTCTATAAACAAACCTGAGTGCAAATTAATTGAGAGTGCCAGGACTGGCCCTACTCCACAAGATTTTCTGAATACGCTGGCCGCTCAACCACTCCCCCTCGTCCGTTCAAACGTTCCGCCTCCGCCAACGGCTTAGCCATCGGCCGAGGCGGAACAGTAGAGTGAGCAGCCAAATTCGGTGAATCGTGTTTCTACAAAAACGAATTCACTAAAGGGAGACGAGTCACCATTTGAATGATTCCTAGTTCTCTGGGGCATAGCTCTTCGCTTAGGCTTACCTCTTCGCTTAAGCTTACCTCTCTGCACTCAGGCTTAACTGACTCAGTCGAAACGACTCTGTCGAAAGAACTTGCCTGCACGGGGAAGGCGGTGCCCCCCTGCCCCTGTCCCCCCAGGGGGCCGTTGTCATAGCTGGAGCTGCCGTCGTCCGTGGCCTCGCCGGAGAAGGGGTCCGACTCGTTGGTGGCGGCGTCGTCGTCGTCGCACGGCTCCTCCTTGGCTTCCACCTGTGGGTCCAGTTTGAAGGTCTAGTTCCAAGCCAAGTTCGGGTCAACGTGGGGGCAAGTGCGAGGGAAAACATGTCGGGTTCGGAGAGACACACACAGACATGCACACGCATGAGGCTGGCTCGCACATCTGCATTTGAGTGCCATCGACTGCATTGCAATCGCTTGCGACCGCTCACAGGGTCACAAGCGATTACACACCTGTGCCATCCGTTGGGCAGCCCTGGAACAGTTCCGCGATATGTGTGCCATATTTTCTGGACTATAGCCCGCACATTATAAATGCTTAAACAATTGAATTTTATGCGGTGCAGACTATGCGAGAATTTGGTTTTTCTAGAACGTTCATTATGACGAGACGCGAAAGATTCTGTGAATGAAAGCATGTATAATTATGATTTACGTCCGATCAAAGCTTTCTTTGCGATCTAATTAAGCGGTATTTTTGTCTAGGTGAGCTGCGTAGAAAAACTGTTTAGTGCGGACGAGGCACCCGGTGCAAGTCCGAAAATACGGCAATGAAGTGCGTTGTGTGTTTGTTTAGACAGCCGGGAGTTATACGGCCCTAATGGGCGCCTGGTGTCTCAGCCGTAGGCGAGAAATTTCGCTGCTGCGGCCCCACCGCCGTTCCAAGGGCCTTATGACGTGCGTCACACAGTAGTGATGCACGTCGTCACACAGTAGTGCGTCACACAGTAGTGACGCACGAACGCACGCTCCTACGATGCTCATCTAGATCGAATCGGGAAGGGGCGGGGATTGAAACCAGGATCCCTGCAGGTTCTGCAGCCTTCGCTCCACAAGCTACAAGCTGCGGTGCGTCGACACGCTCAACCACCGATCCCCCGACCTGCATACGACTAGACCGAAGGTTTTTGCGGTGTTTGAGAGATCAAAGCTAAGCACCGTCTACGAGAAATGGTAACCTATAACAGAGCCGGTACTATTTTAAGCCCACAATAAAAGAATGAGGCGTAAAATATACGCAGACTGAAAGCGTTCCGGTACTACCCGATGGATTGCACCAGCGTCTTCTCTCGTCGTACGTGGTCACCAGCAGTGCAGTCCATGGCAGTCAAACGCAAATGCGAGAACCAGCCTGCACACACCGACACAGCCACTCCAAAACGACGGACACGACAAAATGCGACGACACACGAAGCGACACGGGACGTCGACGAAATTAAAGCTGGCGGATTTTTTCCCGAAGATACAGCCAATACCTGGGACATTCCGTCATTTATCGGCACCCTCTAAAAACGATAAATGCCAGAAAAAAAAAACAAAAAAAAAACGGACATGACAAATTGTTGCAAGTAGTAAGAATACTTGGTTCAAAATATGCTTGCACGAGCGTTTTTGTGCCATCGGGATGCTACATCATGACACACGAGCTTGTGCACGCATCATTTTCATTTCAAAAAGCGTTCTACACCGTGCGTAAAACGGAGTATCGACAGCTGAACAGCATGCCAGAAGCCTTGCAACCTCGGATCGACAGTGTGAAATACAAGGCATCGGAGAAAAAAGCATACTGTATTTTTCTCGGCCTTAGTTTCCGGTGACTTCCTACAAATCGCTGTTCTCACTTAACGTACACGTTGGAAACTAAAGAGCGAAGGAGGGGATGGAATTACATATATGCCAACCACAATATGCAAGCTACTATTTTTTTTCTCGTTTTCTTTCAACTCTTTTCTTTTTAAACATTTGTTCTTAAAAAATTGTTGTTGTTTGTTTATGACTTACCAAATTCACATCCTTCTAGCAAAGACAATAACAGGGTACCATCACATACACACATACAGAACAAAAATAGACCAACAAGAAGCCATACTAGTTTGATTACATAAAGACTGTGCGAATAGTAGATTCTGAGCTCAAAGCTAATTTAAAGCACATAATCGTTTTGGCTGAATATTTTCTAATTGAATATCGAATAGTTTCTTAAAAACTCTCACTACCGTGCACCATGCTTGAACGAAAATTCAGCTGAACCCGTGAAGGTTGTTCCCAACCTTCTATTTGTCCACTTCTAAGCTCAGGCTATTTTATTATAACTACTCGTACATGAACTGTGGCAGGTAAACAACAGATTTGTTGCAACTATCCTAATCGAGAGGAATTATAAATCTGCTTGCTATATGCAGATATTTTTACTTCTATTTTAAATAAAAAATAGAAAAAAGCATGAAGGATGAATGTCGGTTGTCAAGAATCGCTGCCTAACATATGCTCTTGCATAACTGCGGAAGGCTAGCCCCGTTGAGTGTGCTTCTCACCCAGCACCTGTGCTATGCAGGGAAGCAATACCCACGAAACCCCCTTCTCCCACACCCCCAGCTCCATGAGTAATGCTTACCTGCAGTGCACGGGTGCTCGGTGAGAAGTGCACTTAACCGCGATAACCCGCTGCGATCAAAAACTATGAATATCGCAGTCCATCTTGAAGTGAATACCGAATAGCATATTATTCGAAACTACTATTCGAAAATTCGAGTATTTGCACAACACTATGACGTAATGTAAATCCAAAATTACAAGACATTGAAACACAACTCTAAAGAAAGCATACAGAGTACATACAGAAACAATACAGTGATGCACAACATGTTAGGAGTCCTTTACACGCAACATGCATTTACAATTGAATTTCACTCATACATGGTCGCTTTATATGTTTTTCCCGCTGTCGCATTCACGACCACCAGCTCCGTTGAACTCCCTAGGAATAAGTGCCCAGTTCGTTGCATTTGCTTTTTCGGTGTTTCCGTCCAAGAAACAACCACCCGACGTTGGCGACGCGACGTGTCTGGCAGCGGCCGCCCTCCATCCATTGCTTCGCTCTCCCCTTTTTTGCATCTTTGCCTCTGAAACTGTGCTTCTCATCATTGTTGCCTGGATATAGACATAACCTTGGACTAGGCCCGTAAGGTACGATTTCGGAATCGCCCGTTTATCTTGCCATTTCTTTCTGAGACTCGCGCGAGAGTGCTTCCGTCATGTTGGATTGCCGTGGATCGACTCTTGGAGGCGTGCGACGAGACAGTGGCGTCATGGCACGGCTTCTAGAAGAGGCACTTCGCATAGACGTTGCATGTAGCAGCCGATCTTAGTTTGTAGTGAATGTTGGCTTGTCTGGGTACAGCGCTGTACAAAATGTTCGAAGCCACACTCGGCAACAACTTTTTTTTTTTTTTTTACGCGAGTCCCGAAAACTGAGAATGCATCCCCTCCATGCATCGGCGGAAACAGCAGCGATCGTCTCAATCCCAGCGAATTTACTCGACCCGTGCCGGCGAGCGAAGAGCTGTCCAATAATAAGAGGAGCGAAAGACACTTCTCACATAGATTTCATGATTTACCGGGGCTGGTGAATGTCGTCCCGTAACGATTTTCCAGACCGTCAAATAACCACACGCTTCGTAGGGGCACCTTCTGGCGCAGATAAACGAAAGACACGGCGACGCGTTGCAGTCGTTGCTGCTTACGGTCGCAAAGGACACGACCGAATTCAAACTCCGAGCAATTCCGGCGGGTCGAACAACGCGAGAACACAAACAGGTTTTCCTGTCCACGAACGTGGAAACGTTTGTGAAAAACCTGAATATGAACAGGTTTTCAAACATTCGTTTGCGTCGGAGCCGCCGTTTGTGTGGCTGCCAAGGCAGATTGGCGTGCCCCCTTTTAGTGTCGCATGCTCCCAATGGTCACCGAGGGCTTAGTAGAGATAGGGCGTGATATATTACGTTCACGCCTCCTGCTTCTTTCTTGTTGTCTGATGCAGCACTCTGATTGGCTGCAGGGCAATAATGAGGTTCCCTGGACTCACCGTGCCCTGCGTTGCTTAAACTCTTGGCAACTATGGTTAGATTTTGCATGGAGTTAAAAATTGGTAACTGCGCACAGCACACGGCGCGCTTGAAATGCTTGCAAATTGAGCTTCACCAGCGTACGTCGAACTTCACTGCTGTGCACTGGTACGCAGGGAGCAGCGGCTGATGTGGAGGACCATCTGTGTTCGCACAATGGGCTCGTAAATTCTGCTCAGCCTTAAAGGTTGACATTATTTTATTATGATTATAAATTTCCCATTTTAGACAATGGTTTTGAACAACAAAACAAAAATACGCTGGCCTATTTTTGAGTGAGTATGGTAGTTCTCCCCAGCCATGAAAGTCTGTGAAAACACTACATCGCTGAACGAGAGTTGCTTCCTATTGGTCGTTAGGTTTTCCCGGATCACCACATCTGTTTACCGCAGTTTCCTGAAAGGGACTGCGGCGATAATCTGTCCGCTCAGGAAATTTTTTTATATGCTACCTCATGCCCATGCCAAGAGTACATCTTGTAAAAGTGGTCCCATTTCCAAGCGGTCCCTAGATTTTGTATGTTCTGCCGGCAAATATGTCAGCAGAGAAAGTTAGGGCACAAACGTTCTGGTGATGGTTGAACATAATCGACTAAGCCCAGAGTCTAGGAAAAACGAAGGACGACACAATGTGGAAGTCTCGTGTCGTCCCTTGTTCTCCCGTCTATGGGTTTTAGTCTATGTGACTCTGCAGCAAACAAAAGTTTTGGCTAGTGTCGCGACACCATATCCTAATGTTTCGCACAAAGGCATAAACAAAACTTTTGTGAAATCAGCGTCCTTTCATGTGTGCTGCATGGTAGCATAGGAGCAAAACAGCGATTCAGTGGAAGGCATTACCTTGAGCTTGACGTCGGGGAAGGTCACCTCCGACGGGTGTAGAAGGGGTAGCCGCCCTCTCAGGTGGTCCCTGAGCTTTTTGAGAGCCACGTAGAAGGGGAGCTTATCCACCGCGCGAGGCAGCTGGGCACAGCGGGCGCTCGAAGACGGCATCACAAACACCGACTGCCCGGCCGTGCGGGAAGGCGGGGTGGAAAGAGAACAAAACGACTCAGACCACCTGATGTGACGAGAGCCTTCACGGGCTTCAGGTTCAACTGCACTAGCCTTTCAAACCCATCCGAGAATGAGACCACCTCTTTGGTCTGATTCACGATTGGCAAAGGAGACTTCACTGTCTGTAAATGAGACAACCCTATACAGCCTTGTTTACATACATTGGATGAGACTTCAACGCCTGTGAATGAGACAAGCTACGCAGTATCATTCATGTATAATGAATGAGACTTTGTTACTGTGAATATATAATGAGTGAGACTTCATTGTCAGTAAGATTTCACTACCTATGACTAAGACCTTATTGTCTGCAAATGATACTTCATTGTCTGTGAATGTAACTTAAATGACTGAGTGAGACTTCATTGTCTGTTACTTAGACTTCATTGGCTATGGCTCAGATTTCATTGCCCGTGACATCACTGCATGTGATTGAGACCTCATTGCCTGTGAATGCAACTTCGCTGTCGGTGAATGGAACCTCGTTGTATGTGAATAAGACTTCCTTGTCTGTGAATGCAACTTCTGTGAATGGAGCTTCTCTGTACGTGAATGAGACTTCATTGTCTGTGCACCAGACTTCACCGTCCATGAAATCGAATGCCTCCCAATGGTGGCAGGTGCGAGAGCTTACCACGTTGGTTCCCTCGATAGGGTCCGGTTGGCGACCAAACACAAAGTTCTTGTTCCCCGAGAAGATCTCGTAGATGCCTGGATGCAAATGAGACAGGGGCCTTCATCAGTGGAGCCTGGCTTAAGGGGGGATACGGCCACGAAATTCAATTTTTTTCCGAAAAAATGCATTTTCAAAAAATATTATATTTGGGTTCACTATGTTCTGAAGCATAGTTTCAGAAAGTTTTATTTATAAATGCGCAGTATTTATTTCGCAAAAAATTATTTTCGGCAAGCTCGCGGCCGCGCGCGGCGACCCGCCGAGCAAGCAGACGGCGAAGTTCGGCATTTTCAAATTAGGCCTACTCCGCGCTCGTTCGACGCAGCCGAGATATCTTACCCTCGTTGGAAGCGCCGTTTCTTCTAGTTTCTGCCCATAGAAGCTTGCTACGTTTGAGGCTATCTGTGTCCCGGGAGAACCCCGTACATACAAGCAGAAAAAACGTGGGAACTATGATACCAGCAATCCCATTGGTTGTGACCCGAAACAGGGCTCACGATTGGCCGCCTGCGTGCGCTATCGGCAGCTTCTTTCGCTTCTGATCGTATCGCTTCTGATCGTATCGCCAGTTTGCCGCTGTTTAGATTCGTTTTCCCTCTTTGTTCCCGGTAGTTTTTCTGCCGAGAAATGCCTGCTTCCAAAGTTAGCACTCGCAGTAGCTTTGGCCGGCGTTCTCAACGGCGGAAACAAAGGGCCGGCGGAGACGGGGACCCGTCTCCGCCGGCACCATCGTCGCCGTCTCCGCCACCGTCGTCACGATCTCCAAGCTCAACTGGTGCTTGGCGGACATCGGAGCCTACAGCTTCATCTCCGAATCGGATGTGCTCACCACGTTCGAGAGGAAGCTCAGCCTGCGCGATTTCGACGCGGGGATTACGGACGACCCGGAGCTGACAGACGCTCCCGTTGAAAAGCCCCTGAACGGCTCCTCAATGTGTCCGCCATGCAGACTCTTGTTGCGATTTTACTCTGCCTCAAGTGCCACGGAAAACTACTGAGCTTGCAGGAAGTTGACATCAACGTTTAGTTTGTTGTTAGCTGCTCGACTTGCGGAGACATCGTCGCGACACCGCACTCACCATCAATCGGCAAGTTTCGAGAGAACGAACTCGCGGTACGTCTAGGCGTCGTTGGAAGAGACTGTGGCATCAGTTTCACAAAGCTCACGAATCTCTTCGGGGGCCTCAAAGCAACTGCCCTCCTCATGCTCATGTAGTTGAAGGTGCCACCAATATGACTCGGGTAAATTTCAAGTTTCTGGCACCGTCCGAAAATAAAAAAAAAAACAAGTTGAAACTTCAAACGCATTTTTCTCAGTTTCACTTTTTGGCAGGAATTCTTGTTTTAGGAAAGCTATCATTTTATCTAGGTTGCACTGTGGGTATTGTTCTTCACATTAAAGCAAAAAGTTTGCCACCAGCTAATTTTATTTTTCTACGATAGACTTCCTAATGAAGTGTCTTTTTTCTGAAGTGCGAGAACCGTAGCATGCTGTAAAGTTGACCAATAATGCTAAAACTTTGCAGATTATCCTTCCTCATAGTGCTGAAATAACCCTCAAAATTTGAACCAAATTGGGTGAAGGGTTCAAAAGTTGACCCTCCCAGGCCATATCCCCCCTTAAGGAACACCTCTCTCCAAATGAAATCTAGTAATGCCTATCTGTAAAGTGTAAAGGCACGATCGAAACTATAAAGACCTCCACACAAATTGACATATCATCAGTCTAATGGAGCCATTCTCAAACTTGCGACTGATTATGTCCGTGTGCATTGAAACCTCTCAAAATCTCTTACGACGAGAGAACACACTGATGCCACCTGTCGGCTAGCCAATAAAACTCGACTGTCCCACATTTTTTCTCTTTTCTTCGTGCATCATTCTTTCTTGGTATAAAAAGTTTTGTCAATGTTTTAAGACATTAGGTTTGGGGATCAAAGGCAGTTTGTATGGCAGTTTGTACATTTTGCTATTAGCATGAGAATGCAGTGCCACGGAGAAAGTGGAAGGAGAGAGGCAGCAACCCACCTTTCCCATTAAACACTGCTATGCGTGGCTGAAATATTTTTAGCTTGTCCATCAGGATCTCTGCCCCTTCCTTGATCTCTTTCCTGTAAAGGAGAAAGACAGAGGAGTGAGGGTCGATCAGAAAAAAGGCAACTGCGCCGGTGGTTATTTACGACGCACACTCATTGACGACACAACAATAAAGCCTGTACGGAGCGCATGTATGACCTTGTGCTCCGCATAAGCCTCTATGCAGTATGTACCGTATTTACTCGAGTAATAGCCGCACTGTTTATGAAGAAAACCTGAGGGTTCGCTTTTCCACGGAGCACGCAGATTGTCAATCACCGCGTTCAACAGCATGACTTCAGCTCTGTACAGGTCAGGGATAACGTTTTCGTGCAAAGATACCATCTGTAAAGATAGCATTTGTATGGAGAATTATGTTCTCAATCTGGTCATTTCCTATGTTATTCATGCGCATTGCAATGACTGGCTGTATATGTGTTCTGTGGGAAAGTGGACGCAAGGGCCTTGTTCATAAATAGTGCGGCTATTACTCGAGTAAATACGGTGCAGGGTGGCCCTCCAAACAATGATTTTTTTCACTACAAAAATAAACCTATGCGTCGCCAAATGATCACTCTACGCCCAAATTTTGAGCTAGTAGTCCTATCTAGATGCCAAGGTTCCAGAACTAACCGTTATTTAAATAAAGCATTACAAGTGACTTTCTGAAATTTTCGATGGGGAAATGGCAGCCAACGGAGCCTTTGAATACTAATAGCTAAACGGTGCCAGTCATCGAGAATGGGAACCATTTTCCCATGAAAATTTTCAGAAAATCCCTTTTACCTTTTGAACGAGACAACGGTTGGTTCTGAAACTTTGGCATCTGGTTCGAACTACTAGCGCTACACTTGGGCGGAAAATGAGCCTTTGGCGATGCATAGTTTACGGTTGCGATAAAAAATACTGCAAATTTGTTTTTACGGGGACATGCTGTATTTGATGATGTCAGATAAATCCTTGTAACGCTTGCCTTCGGTATGCTCAAAACAGCTCATGACAGTAAGGTGGACATAATAATATCAATAAAAAAAGCCTGTAGGTGTTTATGGTTGGTTACAATTATAGGCCGACCCCTATCCTTAAAGGGATACTTCAACGAAAGTTGAAATATTCCCGTCGTGTTCAAAAATAGGTTGAATATGATCCACAATATCTATAAATGACAATCGCACGTTTGTATTTTGATCCTGGTGGCTGTATTTTTCGTTATAAACGGCCCACTCTGGCAAGCGCTCGGAGGAGGCCCAGCTTAGAGCACGTGACATCCAACGCAATCGTGACGTAGGTCGTCTCAAGACGAGCAAAGCTACGGCGGGGCTGACGTCGAGAGGATGGCCTAGTCGTTCCAGCCACCGAAGCGGCTGCTTTTGTACGAATTTTGAATGACAGGTTAATCTTCTATAATCTTCTAGGGGGACAATAGCGACTTCTGCGACACACAAAAGGGATTCTCGGGAAGAGGGGAGTTCCTCCTTCCCCCCTTCTCTCGTCGTGGCCGGAGATGAGACAACCTCCGTCACTAGCTGCCAAGGTTGCTAGACGGGCATTACAAGCGAGACGTTAGCGACATCCACCAGGTGCTCTTTGCTAATCGTTTAATTCGTTTTAAAATTCCTTCTCATGACTTTTTTAACAAGATATTGGTATGTTCCATGTGATACTGCTTTTTTGAACACATATAGACCAAAAAATGAGCGCCGAAATTTCGTTGTAGTATCCCTTTAAATGATAGTACTGCAAAGAAATGTCTACCTATATCTGAATTAATATGGTGGTTCTATATAGCTGTGAAAGTCTAGGTGACATAAAGTGTTGTGCAAGAGTTGTTTGCCCCCTAATACAGTAGGCTTGTGACAATTTAAGCCAGCGTTGGTGGCGTGATGGAAAAATACTGGTTGGTCGATAGGGTCATGACATCACAGTCACATGACCTCACATGGGAATTTCAGACAACCCACAACGCTTACATGAAACATGACGCCACTCGTTGAATGAAAGTGATGTCACACATGACATCACTTACATGACATGTAATGCGAATAAAAGGTCGCCATATCTCTCAAATGATTTCACTTTATGAATTAATTCACTTAACACAAAAAAATATTTGAAGAAGTTTAAGCGGGATTCAAACCTACGACCCCTCAGTTGCGAACCAGAGATGCTATTGACTATACTTCGTCTCAGCTTCGGTCTGAGCGCGGCCGATGTTATGAGCCGAAGGGCCAATCAAACAGCGCAAAAAGCGCAGCGTCATGGCGTGCTCTCTGTGCCTGATAGGACTATCCGGCGGAGGCGCACGCAAAGAGACACGGCGATTATCGGCTGGTCCTATCAATTGCAGAGAGCATGCCATGACGTTGTGCCTGTTTCGCTGTTTGATTGGCCCTTCAACTCATAACTTCGGTTGCGCTCCGACCGAAGCTGAAACGAAGTATAGGCCACGCAATGCATGCTTGAACGGTGAATGAGAAGGCGATGCGAACGGGGCTCGATAACACTATTGCGTTCTACTCTTAAAGGCAAAGCTTAAGCGTCCTACAAGTTCTAATAAGCCGTTTAATTCGAATGGCACTTTCATGCAATTCACACTTTTTATTCTTGCGGCTCTCTAGCGCGCTTCTTTCCGAGCACTGGTGCACTGCGAAAAGGTAATACCCGCGAACCTCGCTTCCGTGGGTGTTGCTTCTCCACACTGCACCGGTGCTCGGTAAGAAACACGCTCAATGGGGCTGATAGTCCACAAGTCCACAATAGACAACCTTTTTACTGGATGAAAAAACTTAATTTTGTTTTGAGGTGTCATGTGCTGCCTAAACAGTCCATGAGAGACAACATTTTTGAGGGATAAGTAAACTTGTTTGAAACATTTCACCAATGTCTCATCCGTGGCACGCCTGCTTATGATTAGTATGCCTGTGTAGAGGAAATCACCAAATATTCGCTTTGCATTTGAAGCCATCCACATAACAAATCATAATTTCATCTTGCATCATATATCAATGAATTTCTGGTTATTCAAAGTTCTGATAATTCAAACAAAATTTGTGGCTTTTCTTGGAGTTTGAATTAATAAAAGTCTTCCATATGTGCCTTTTCGACAGTGTTATTGGTCATAATAGTTTACTCCGTAACTTCGCATCGCAGTCCCCTGTAAAACGTGTCAATGTGGTTCTATTGTAGTTTCACACTGCTATGGTCACAAAAGTGAAAGTTCATAAGCTGCCCCGTTGGGCTACAGCTAAGAATGTATCACTCTTAATAGAGGTTTTTAGAAATGTTAAAGCTGCATATCTTGTGTAAGAACTAAAGCTAAGAACCAGCCATGCACGCAACATTTGTTTATGCACAAAACCATGTTCAGAGTCATGCGACGTACAAGACTACAATCATGTCTATAAACTATATGATATTGTATCCCATCCAACCACACTTTTATGTGGTAACTTTTCCCCTGCGTAATTACTGCACCCCCAAAAAATAACTTCAGTTGTCAGAAAAAACATATCCGAGATAATCGTCCCCTTTCAAAGTCCCTATCAAGCAACAGTGGCAGTCACCATATTTAAGTCGTCTCTCCCAGCACGTATCACAAGGCTGGACACATGCAGACAAAATTGTAACGCAACACTTTCGGCCTGGATGAATAGCGATTCCCAAACTATGAAACTCTCATACTCAGGAACAAGTAGGTGCAGGTTTGAGGGGAGAGAACAGCTGAGGGACCCACCTTGAGAGGTCAGCACTGCTTCTAGTTGTCCGTGCAACAATGTTGGTGAAGCCGATGCCGTACTGGATCAATTTGAAGTCATCCACTGCTGTCATAGGCTCGGGAATGAGACCAGCCAGGAAGAGGCATCGCCCTGGGCACACCAACATGGCAACTGTCTTGGCACTCGTGCAAACCAACATAGCCACCTCAAGAACAATCTATTCGTTTCACAAGTTGTGTGCGGTGCTGGCAAGGGTATTCCCGTGAAAGCAAAGCTGTAAAAGATGCATTTCTCGAACCTCAAGTTTCGCTGCCGCTACAGACACCTTTGCATAGAGCCGGGTGCCAGCATAACGCATCTTTTTGAATAATGATGCAAGTCCTCTTGGAGGCAGACGATTGGTTCTGCAGCTCCCTTAATGCAGCTATTTATGGCTTGTAATGGCACGCACAATAATGACCAGGTGTTTGTCGTGCCTTTATGGCCATGTTATTAAGAGGCTACACAACTTTTACTTTCGAAAAATCGTCACTCATACCTTGGGAGATTTTTTTAGAGCGCAGCTCTTAGGCGCCTGTTTCTGGGTTTTGCAGCGACGACGACGACGACGCCATGCGGGAAAATTGATATCATCTGACCTCAACACCAATTCGATACCCCGCTAAATTTAGCGGGGAAAAAGACGTCACATGACTTGGTATCACGCCACCTATGAACCAATTCAGTTCTCCGCTAGGTTTAGCGGGTAAATTGACATCACATGACCTCAATACCAATTTAAATTCCCCGCTAAATTTAGTAGAAAAATCTATGTCACGTGACCTCAACACCAATTCAGTTTCCCCGCTAGTGGGGAGAATGACGTCACATGACTTGGTGCCACATTACCCATGAACAAATTCAGTTTCTCCGCTAGATTTAGCGGGAAAATTGACGTCACATGCGAAAGAGGAGAATGGGGAGGAGGAGTAGGGGAGAGGAGGAGGGGAGACGAGGAGTGGGAAAGGAGGAGGAGCAGAGGAGGGGAGGTGGAGAGGGTGCAGAGGAGGAGGAGGGGCATAGCCTCCCCCGTGTACCCTTCCCTCCTCCTCAAAAGCTGCGCCCTAATTTCACATTACAGAGATTTGTAAATGTCTCAATTTTTGTGTTAACTCTCCCACACACGCGGTTTAAACTCAAATCAATACATAGCTACTAGCATCCATAACACTCAGAACGATTTAAAAAAACTACAAGATGTTCACAATCCCCTGTAACACCGAATTAGAGCGCAGCTCTAGAGGAGGAGGAGGGGAAGGTACAAAGAGGAGGGCATGCCCCTCCTCCTCATCCCCTGCCATCTAGCAGGAAATTTTCGCTCAATTTCGCGCTATATTTAGAGGGAAATTTTTCCGCTGAATTTAGCGGGAAATTTTTCCGCTGAAATTAGCGGAGAATTTTTTCCTCTAAATTTAGTGGGGAATTTTTTCCGCTAAGTTTAGCGGGGAAATTTTTCCGCTAAACAGCGTGAACCTTTTTCTGCTAAGCAGGAAATTTTTCCCGCTAAATATAGCGGGGAATTTTTTCCGCTAAATTTAGTGGGGACATTTTTCCACCAAATTTAGCGGGGAAATTTTTAAACCAAATTTAGCAGAGAATTTTTTCCGCTAAATTTAGCGGGGAAATTTTCTTGCTAAATTTTGCGGGGAATTTTTTCTGCTAAATTTAGCGGGAAAATATTCCCGCTCAATTTAGTGGAAAAGTTTTTCCGCTGAATTTACCCATAATGCAACGCGTGGGGACGTCACTCGTGACCCTCGTGACATTACGTGTGATGTCATTATGTGAAACGTCCCGTAATGCACTGCACGGTTACACCGACGGCGGCGCCGCTCAAGCCGGAAACGGGCACCTAAGAGCTCCGTTCTAAAAGATTATACAAGCTTGATCACGCTGCCGAAGCCTGGTAAGCAGAGAATGTTTGATATGCCTCCCAGGGAAGAACAGAAGGGCATCTGAATGGCAGTGTCTAACAAAGATCCACTCTTATTTCTAACACACGCCGTGAGATAGCGCAGCAGGACAGCAAAGGCCACAAAATGCATGACCGCATGCCCCATGAATGACTTCACCTTTGCGTGCACCAACCCACGACTCTGGATAGCTCAGTCACTGTAAAGCACTTGGCTCGTGATCTCTAGGTGGGAAGTTCAAATCCTGCCGGTGGACTGAAGTAATTTTATATGGTCCCCTATGGTGTCATTAGAGCTAAAAGGGACCCATTAGAGCTGGCCGTCACAGCCAAATGTTGCAGGACTCCGTGGAAATCGGCTGATAAAACACATTCTGCCTTAAAATTACCATAAAACTTGAGAAAAAGTTGCACAAGCCACCCTCACACAAGTGACAGTAGTACCATAAAGTCTGTGAATCGTACTGAAGCATGTGCACCGTTGCAATCCGTGCCTATGAAAGAATAGTTAAGTACCCTGTGACCATGCCATTACAGTGGAACCCGTCACAAGCAAGATTCAGGACTGGTATCTTTTGAACACTGACTTGAAAGCACACAATGAAAATCACTTGGAAAAGGCTGCTGTGCAGACTTACAAAAATGATTTCCAGGTCCTGCGTAGTGATGGCCCTTGAATGCTGCAAAAAGGCCAGGGTTGATGCCAATCTGCAAATGAGAGAGCAAACAAAGTCACCCATTTACCGCCACCCTAGCAAAGAGTGGCAGCGACTTGAATCAACCGTGCCTTCAAATCACAATGTTTTGTCAGCTGTAGAAGAGTAGTAAGCTGGGCGAGTTGGTAAACGTTGAACATAGTTGAAAAAGTTTTAAAAAAAAGTGCGCCTGTCTGTGTTCTGTGTTCCTTCCTCGTTTGTCCTCGTCTCTTTGTGCGCGATTTTTAACTATGTTCAACTATGTTTTGCCAGCTACTACTGTCAAGCGCCTGGAAAATTTTCTAACTTCATGAGTTGTTTTCAAGTCCTCTTAACAATATGAATCAGACTCCTGATTCAGCACGGTAGAAAATAGGTGTGAACTCATTATTACACACACCAGTACATTATATTGGTACAAATCTAATGGGTCTCTTTTATGAAGCGATCTTCAGCAGAACGCCTTCCTCACAGACACGTCACCTTGTCACCTGTATGTGATGTCCAAGCATGAGAAAGGCATGCTTGGCACACGTGTGAACAGTGTTAGTTCAAAGTTTGTCTAGTATGCCCATCCTATACAACCTAGAGCCCTAGAAGGTAAGGCCAGCGCATTACATCATTGTTAATGAATCATCCGAGGCTTGACCACGCATATGGCAAGGCTTCAGACACGTGCATTTTCCTGCCGTGTCATCTCGCATTGGCATCGTGCTTGTTCCGAGACACTGCCAATGCATTAATTTATTACAGGGCAAATCCGCTTCATTTTTGGTTTTGAAAAAACAATGCAGTCCTCTTCAGTATCGCCTAGGAAGACCACACGTGAAATCTTACGACGCAGTTCTGTCTAAATGTTTCTTAAACGGTCCGGCGAACTTTGCAACTCGCAAGCTGCCGAAATCGGCTGACTTGAGCGGGCGAATTCAGGCGCAACCAACAGCGCAGTCAAGGCTATGGCGTGGGCGGAGCCAACATTGAGCTAAACGCCATCTACATGGCCCCCTTTTGCTTGTTTTCACTTCTCCGGGCGAGCGTAGCGCATGACGTCAGCAACGTTGCCTCTCGGCGCTCAGCAGTGTCCACGCGATTGGCGTAACGCGCCTGCGCAGCGCGTGTCTTGAGAGCCGTCCGGCCGCCCGCCGTGGTCCCGCCGTTACCGCCGTCTTCCGCGTCACAACCGCCATCGTCGTCTCACCGATTGTGATTCTTATCTCTCGGAGTTTCGTCCACACTACGGATACCACGTGCGCGCACACTTACGCCGCAGTTGTGCAGACGTCGTCGAGTGCCATAGACACCAAAACGTGGCGAAGAGTGCGGTGCAGACGACACTCGCGCCTGCCACACGCTCGCCCCAATCCCGCCCGTCGTTGGGCTGCGGATCACGTGACATCTCGTACCACGTGATGGCCATGTACTTGGCGACCCGGGGCCAATGTTGCCGGGCGGAGCCGAAGTTTCGGTTTCGATTCCCGCTCGTGTTTAAAATCAGATTTAAAAATATATATCCCATTTTTCACGAAGCAAACGACGTAGTGTGTTTTACTAGGGCTTTTTAATTCGAAATCAATTATTATCCGGAAATCTTCGGAATTGAGCGGAGTTGCCCTTTAAGGACATGCTTACGGCGACGTGGAGACAGTCTAGGCAGTGGAGCATATGGAACGCATCCCGACTGGTGTTTTTACCACATCCTCATTCGTGGTTGTAGTGTTTTCAGTTGTTGTGGCGTGCTATCACGTAACGTGAGCAGATCGCGCAGTGAGGATAAGTCCTGTTCTAACCTCCGACCCATATGTACACGCGTCATCCTCCGCTCGAAGGGCCCGCCTGGTCCTGGGCCGCCGACATTCCTTTGTCTCAAGCATGGCACTGTGTAACCCCTCTCCCATCTCTAGCATGCCGTCCTAGGCTCTGCTTTTCTTAGCCTATGTGGCCCTCCTTTTGATGGTCATCCTTGGTCACTACATTTTGTCGACAAAGACAGGGGTCCCTTGATCTCAGCCTCATGACCTCGCACAAATGTCCTGCCATTGTCTGCCACGACCCCAGCGAGGGCACAGCAGCAAAGGCGAACACAGCAGACGCCTGCTCTCCTGCAGGGCGCTCTCCAGATTGACAGTCCACGGATGTTTCGGCTACTACGATTTAGGACGCCACAACGACAGCAACGCTTGCATTCGCCTGTCCTTGTTGCCGCAACTTCTACGACCGACTGCCATGATTGCGAGATCCGATTCCTGACACTTCCTGTGACACGGTATGTTGCCACTTTGGGATAACTTTCAATGCATGACCAGTATAGGGTTCTTGCACGAGACCATGATGCAACGCTATTTCCAGCTCGGAAATCTCGCCGGAACCCGCCGGAATTCATGTTGTCGGCATTCGTCGCTATCGTGCTATGTTTTGTGTGCTTTCGGGCTGTGTTTGCACTGTAGTTTGTCCGCCCACTCGAGGATCAAAATGGTCAGATTCGCCGTAATTATTTGATTAAGTGCTCTAGGCGTACAAGTCTGTGAGAAAATAAAGCTACAGCCAGCAGTATTGTTTTTCTTATTTTTTAAATTTTGGCAGTAATTAGGGATCAAGACGTGGCAATGCACAATCAATCGGTTCGCCTATGTAACAAATGGCTCCGACGGATACGCCGGCACAACCTCAACAGAAAAACTTCGTACCAACTAAAAGTTTATGAACTGCACTTCGTGTCAGGTGAGAAACCTCTTTGTGATTGACTAGGACAAGTCAAACGGACGAAATTACTCGTGCGGCAGCTCCAATCTTTGTCTGCATAGCCAGTCAAGAAGTTGGAGGACCGGCAACAGTGCTGACAAGTTCTGCACGATATCCCCCATGATTTCGCGTATAGGTAGTGGAACTAACTTTCTTGTCAGTCAAAACAAATTATTAGCAGACGACGCGTTGTTTGCCGTCCGATGGCACTCTAAGTGCATATTCAAGTGCCATCCGAGGTTGTTAAACACAAGTTACATTTATTCTGATCCGTGTTCCATCAGCTGTGCACCACCAATTTGTTTTATCATCAAATGCGAGCCAGGCAAACGCCATGTCTCTACGGCACTACTGCTGACGCAGCAAGATGCCAAATGACTCCAACATGGCGCCAAGGCACTGATGGCAGACGACAACGTTGGTTCCGCATTCAAGGCTAATCGGAAGTGACGTCAGGTGCAAGAAGCCTATAGGAAGCTAAACATACCAGCTGCGTTGATCCACGAGCAAAGATGTTCAAGAGGAGTGGTGCAGGCCATGTGCCTTCTAAGTGGTATCAGACTTGGGCCACAATGTTACGTACAAACTTGCTTCCGAACAGCCCGATTCAAAGGGAACAGCTACGATATCACTATCATCATCATTGTGCTATTTGGGACACATGGCAGCTGTAGACTCAGAAGGGCAGTCATTATCATCATCATCACGACCATGATAACGATGATGATGACGGTGAATGAGATGTGGCACTCACAATGACAATGTCCAGGTTGGGCACGAGATGGTCTGGCAGGGTGCGCTTGGCCACTTCCTCCTCGGGCATGCCCTCGAAGCGGTCAATCTTTTTGCGCTGCTTGAACGTGTCCGTCAGCTTCTCCTGCTTCAGGACGCGCCGACCCTCGGGGGTGTCCACATACTCCAACCTGATTGGACAGGAGAAACGGGAAGGGGCAAGCTACAGAGTCTCGCTAGAGCACAGGAACTGCATGGTATATTCCGTTTGCCCTTAAGCTAACAGTGCGGTGGAAGGTTCACACTTGTTAGACCAGTCATACGTCTAGCTTTCGCCACATGATGACGCTCCCACCTGTGAGGACGTGCAAACAGCAGGGTCAGATGATTAAAGGGAGGCGGTGCATTGGCCCGGCGAGTGCGTAGGTTCCACTGCATCGTCAGCTTCAAGGTGAATGGATTACATCACGAAAAGCCTCTCAGCAAAGCTTACACAAGTTGAGGCTAAAAATGGGAAACGGTCTAATCACGTTGGCAGCATCATGATCTGGCTTCCCGTGGTTGCCTGCACCTGGTTTGACTATAAAGTCAAACGCCTTTATAACGAACACCTCTACAATAAAAACGGCCGTTTATTGAAGTAAAATAAAGTCCCAGCCAACCTTCTATGTGTTCAATGTGTTTCTCCGACTATGTATTACAACAAACTCCTGTGTAACAAATATTTCTGTTTAACAAAGCAATTGTGTGGCCCCACAAAGCAAAAATAACCGGTCTTACTAATTTTCTAGGACAAAAGTAATTAATTTTACGTAAATTGCTGCTCCCAAGTGACATACAAAGAGAAAAAAAAATGTGGCGGCGGCAATGCTTGATGTTGCATCATCTCGTTTGGGCCCAAATAATGTTATTGTGAAACCTCATGTCAAGGTGGCGCAGCTTGACTACCCTGCTGCATAGAAAGCCTGTATGCAGTTATGCAGATTCATCTAGACATAAGGTCGCACAGTAACAAATTATTTAGACTCGAAAACGAGAATGCAAGGTGCGGCAACAAAGGAAGTGGCACGCGCCGCCTCCGCCGCGAGTGCCCGCTTGTGTGCGTTTTTGTTTGCTTTCATCTTGCTCACGCCGTTGGTTGAGTATGCAACACTCCGCTCCAAGACGAGTTTTTCTTTTCAACACTTCGTTCGGACATTGCACGCACTCGTTTTCTTATTTCAATGTATGTTAGCACATCTGAACGAAAGTATATAGCTGAGATGGCATAAAAAAGTCACAAATTTTTTTTATGCCGTCTCAGCACTTGTTCCACCGACGTGCCGATCTTCATCTGGATCCAAGATTCCCAATCTTGCTTGATTCGACTCCCAAATTGTTCTGCCTTGGAGCGATAATATGCGGCCGAGGAAATCTGATCCGCGAATCTACCTCCGATGCCAAAATCTAAACGAAATCATTACAGCCACACAGAATCACGCCCCCCCCCCTCTTTGTGCCAAACAGATATAAAAAAGGGCTCAGTCGGCTCAGTTGTGCATCTCTCCTCATCGTCGCTCCTCACTGTGCTGCCTGCTGCAGCTGTTGCACGCCGAGCATGTGGCTGATTCTGCCCTGCTGCTACAGTAGTGATGGTAGTACTGCCATGGCTGCCGCACCCTATGCACTGCTTCGACAGCCTCCCCCGAAATGACACGTGGCGGCCGCCACCCGATTAGGAAAAATGTTCAATTTACACAGTCGTTGAACGCCTCTCATTCGCTGCGTGGTCAGGGGTCGATAACGGGGGTTTAGTGATTGTCACAATTCATGTTTTGATAAGTCGGCTAAGTTTGTCGCGTGGAAGTTTGGACGGCAGGAAATTAGTCTGCATGCAGCAAAGGGTGCATATTCCCTTGACTGTAGGTGACAAACTTTGGCAGTGGTGGTAGTGGCGGTATGACTGCGTCAAGCAGTGGTGAATACACAAACGCGTGACAATACAAATTTCATTGAGAAAAAAAAAAAAAGGAGCGTTAATCAATCCCGAGACGTTTGAATTCTGCAATGCGAGCATTTGCCCCACATGCCCCAAGCTGCAACGAGCTAGCAGACTCGGCCACCGTTCCCCGTTTCGATAAGTCTATTGTCAACGTACAAAACCTTGTTTCTGATGTCGCTGATACTATATTTGGCGCTATACTGTTTTCTAAAACTCCTCCAAAGTCATGCAGGTACATCAATATGCGACAGCGCGAATTCAGTCTTGCATAATCAATTTTTCGTGCTCCACAACAAAACAAAGCTGCACTAAGAAAAATTTTGCCGGTCCTGCGCACTTCGTTATGAAGGCGGTTGACTGTACTGTCACGCTTGCTGCTAGTTATCACATCTAATTTTATTCAAAAATGTTTTTCCGATCATTCGGAAAACAAAACAGAACAGCACACAGGACAGCCTCACTAAGAGCAAGAACAATATAATTGGCTAATGAGAGCAAGTTAAACCTAGCTAGGTTTCAGTAGGGTTCTTCTAATAAGAGGAGCCCCTGACAAAGGGAAACCAATTTAAAGGGCCTCGAGAGGTTCCACCTAAAAAAGGTTCTACATATATTAGAAACTCCTTACAGTTGTAATGACTGATGTATTGATGCACAACAGGTCGATCCACACATGCAATCCTGGTACAGGCATCAGATTAAGGACTGACATGTTTCTAGCGATTACTTCTTTTCCGAGAAAACTGGCTGCCATATACTACACTGAGGATCTGCCTTCCCTGCCAAGCTATACTGCATTCACCTGGTGCCTGCTGAACTAACCTATAGCCTGCCCTTCCCCAACCTAGGTGTCCATGCCAGTATGCGCAGAGAGTGTGATCACAAGGTGCAAGGCACATGCTTGACTGGTCATGCTATTCACAAGAACATAGTTTTGAAGCCGTCTCAGCCTATACACCTTGCCACTGTAACTTGGCAGACGGCAAAGTCTATGGGCCCGGCGAGCCAATCACCTAGGGTGACCACCTTCCTGCCGGTGGAATGCGGGACACCCTGACCGGGGGGAGTAAGAGGAGGAGGGTATTTTCACGACTCAAAAAATAAGTATTAATTCACCAACGCGCACACCCCGAAATCCTGTGCTGTCCGAAGCGCATTATACACCTGAAAATTGTATGCGGCAATTAAGCTAAGTTTCACTCACAGTGATATACATTTGTTTATTTGTAATGGTAAATATTTTATTAAAAGTATCTAAGTTGAAAACATAAAGATTGACTGCACCAGACCTTAATGCATCAAAAGGAAATAAAAAACAGTCAATATTTTTTGGCTTATTGTTTCCTGTCGATACTTACTCTTATATTAACATGCTCCTACACAAAAATAAAACCTTATGTTGTTTTTTTGACCGTTGTGAGTTGCAGGCTTTTTGCCTTCTGCAGCCGTCTTCACTAAAAAAAAAAAGTTTTCCACAACAAACTTTTTGCATGATACAGTATGATTTGAAACTAATTACAATAGTTTATTTTTCAGCTTTTGGCGAGCAATTTTCGCTCGCAATATTTTGCCATCAAGGGGAGAGGCATAACAGCGCATGTGCGTCAGTCTCCTGCAAGAACGACGGTTGCTTCCCGCAGTGCTTGGCAAGAAAATGACATACCATTGAGATTCACACATTTATCAGCGACCTCCGCGGTTCCCCGTTGCCCGTTGTTCGGAAGCGCCATAATTTGCGCAGTGAATGTTACGACAATGTGAAATGCAGGACATTTTGAAGATTTTGGAATTTCTTGCGGGACGCGGGACACGAGCCCTCAATGCGGGACAGTCCCACAAGTCGCGGGACACGTGGTCACCCTACAATCACCGCGTTGACGGGAGACGTGTGGCTCCACTTTATCTCACTACTTGCGCGCAGTGTTGTCAAAGCCACGGGCAGGAGAGAGAGAAAATGCGTTTTGTATGAATTTTGAGCGGCAGGCAGAATAGCGACGTTTGGGACGCACAAAGGACTGTCCGGGCAAGAGGGGAGTTCTTCCTTCCCCTCTTCTCCAATTGCTTGGGTCACGCTCTGACCCTTGTAGCTTTCGTAAGGGCTGTCACGTGCTTTGCTTCCGTCGCTTTGACTGGCTCGAAGAGGCCGCAGCGTTCGCCCTTTGCCAAGTTACGGTGAAAAGGAATATAGTGATGAGTGGTGTATAGTGCAGCGAGCACTCGAGGCAGGAAAGGCTCCAATTTCATACGAAATTCTCTAAAAGTGTCTTAACCCACTTTATGTAGGCGTGTACCCCCCAAACAATGTACAGTGTTTCCTTCGTCACAAAAATAACCTATGCATCGCAAAATGCTCATTCCCCACCAAGACGTAGCTTTATAGGGGTTCAAACCAGATGCTAAAGTTTCAGAACAAACGGTTATCTCAATGAAAAGATAAAAGTGATTTTCCTGAAAATTCAATGGGAAAATGGGGCCATTTTTTTAGGTAACCGGCGCCATTCAACTCTATGTATTCCACAGGCTCGTCAGCCACCATTTTCTTATTGAAAATTTAAGAAAATCGCATATAACTTTTGAATAAGACGATGGTTAATTCTGAAATTTTGGTACCTGGTTCTGACTGCTGGTGCAACATTTGGGCGGAAAATGGGTGTTCGGAGGTGAATCGTATATTTTTGTAGTAAAAAAAAAAAAAAAATATGTGTTAGTTTTTGGGGGAGGCACCTTGTAGTCCTGAGGCAATCTGGCCACTTACCCTTGTGCGATGGGGTACTTCCGGGGCCGGCCCCTCTTGCGAATGACGGGCACCGGAGCCCCGGGCTCAAGTCCGAGGGAGGGGATGTCCGGGTCGTCTGCCTTGCTCTTCTTCTTGCGGCCCCGCTTTTTGGGGCCGGGTGGACTCGCCTCTCCCGCTTCCTCTTCCAGCTGGGAGAGGGGGTTGGACCCCATCCCGTAGTGGGCGCCATTTTCGGGGGACATCCCCATTAGGTAGTGGGACCCCACAGCGTGATGTGGCTGCCGCTGCTGTTCATGCTGCTGCTGGTGCTGCTGATGCTGTTGGTGATGTTGTTGATGTTGATGTTGCTGTTGTTGTTGTTGTTGTTGTTGTTGTTGATGTTGTTGCTGCTGATGATGCTGCTGCTGCTGCTGGAAGTAAGGCGAGCTCATGTATTCCGAGGCGGGGTGATGATGTGGGTGGTGGTGATTCTGCTGTTGCTGCTGCTGCTGCTGTGAATGTCCCTGCACACAGGAAGGACATGCCAAAAAGGTTCAGCTGGGGAGGATTTTTTGTTTTTCCTTGGAGAACATAGTTTTGGTTGGCAGAGCGAAAACGATGGCACACTGTACAGAACACCCTTTGCTACATTCACATTTTCACGATTACCGCACATTAAAGGCCAGTTCACATATGCATACAAGCAATGAAATAGCAAAAAGTCGCTGCTGTCAGCGCTCAATCAGCACTGACTTACCGCTGCACTGTGTGTGCGAACATGAAAAAGCCGGGTCTCACATAGCAGCACTCACGTGCAAAGTCAATGCTGTGCCTATAGTGCTCAGTTAGCCTTGCACTGTATGTGTGAACAGGCCTTAAAAAGCAACTACTACATACGCTGCACCGCTCCCTGATGTGTAAGGAGATCTGTACTGTTTTTATAAATGTACAGTGCCTGGAACTTCTCTGATTTATGTTTTTCGTGTATCATACCTTCTGTGCGTTGAACAGCCTGCAAAAAGGGCAGCAAATCATGTCGCAGGAAGGGTAAATCACTCAGTTACCATCCCCGTGGCTGGTTGGTGAAGCAATGGCATAGCGGACAGACAGCCAGGGTATCACCATTGCTGGCATTACGGCATCCTAAACCCCCAACTCATAGCTGCTCTACTTTCCATTGACTGGTCAGCTGCAGAGCAAGCCACAGCTAAGCAATCACATGTTGTTCAGTTGCATTCTTTTCCTCCTTTCCATCCACACTTTTGCCATCTGCTCCCTTACTGTCTGCTCCTTTGCTGTCTGGTCTTCTGCAGTCTGCTCCCTTGCAGTCTGCTCCCACCTTTGCAGTCTCCTCCCTTGCAGCAGGTACGTAGCCAGGGAGGCCCATGGGGCCCGGCCCCCCCCCCCCCTAAAATCTTACATTTTGCTGGGGCCTCCTCTCCCCCTCCTCTCCCCCCTTCCCTTCCCTTCCCTTCCCCTCCCCTCCCCCCCAAAACAAAATCCTGGCTACGTGCCTGCCTTGCAGTCTGCTCCTTTGCTGTCTGCTCCTTTGCTGTCTTATCCTTTGCTGTCTGATCCTTTGCTGTCTGATCCTTTGCTGTCTGATCCTTTGCTGTCTGATCCTTTGCTGTCTGCTCCTCTGCTGTCTGCTCCTTTGCTGTCTGCTCCTTTGCTACCTCCTCCTTTGCTACCTCCTCCTTTGCTCTCTGCTCTTTTGTCACCTGCTCCTTTGGCACCTGCTCCTTTGTCATTTGCTCTTTCACCACCAGTTACATTTCCGTCTGCTTCTTTGCTGCCCGATCTCTTCCTAAATGCATCCATGCCGTCTGCTCTTCTGTCGTCTCTGCTCTGGTGCCCTCCGGTCCTTTGGTCTTTCTGTTTTGTGCGTTCCATAATATTTTCTTCAGTCATGAACCAACTTGTCTACATCGCCACTACATGGGCACCCCCACATGGTAATCTGAGGCAATCCTTAAGTATGATGTAACCGGGTGAAAATTATGTGCACAAGACAAAAAAGGCGCAGCAAACACACCAGTCGGCAACACGTTCCAGGCACTATAGCTATGCATGGAAGAGAAAAAGGGAGGTCACCTGCTGTGCAGTGTCAGGGTAGAGGTCAAAGTCTGGCTCCTGCTTGATCACCACTGGAGGGTTCCATGTGGCGTGCATGGAACCCCGGTAGTCTTCCATTGTTGTCCCGTCCCCGTTCATGCCCCTGCAATCATGGGCACATAATTAAACACAGTGCTGCTGCTTCATGTCACATCTCTGTATATCACTGCAGCCAGATCGTTCAGTCTGGCACCCCAGAGTGTCACTCCGTGCAAGGGGTAGACTGCAGCACATGCCTCACATAGGGTGCTGGCAGACGGGACTTGTGCAAGCAACAGCCTCCACAGACATTGAGCGTGTCTCGTCACATAACACCAAGGTTCTTAAACGGGCTTTCACAATGACGTGTTTAGAACCGTCGAAGCCCTCACATATCAACCCAGTGAAATAATCATTTCTTCTAGTTCACAGTTGACAACTCGGACATGTTTTGGCAAAGGCTTTTAATATTTTTCTAGTGAAATAATATTTTGGGTCACTGTGGCACTTATTTGGGCCAAACGAAGTGAAAAATAGGCAAGCCAAATTTCCCCGATCTTTCAGTCGTAATGGGCGCCAGAATAGTTCAGAATTTTTTGTTAAAATTTTAAGCAAGAGGGTTTAGCAATAATTTTTCCATGGACAAAACCAGTTTTTATTTTCTTTCTTTTGACTTCAAAGGTTTCATGTATTCATATACACTCAATTGATGCACTACCTTCCGGCACCTCTGTAGTAAATCTCGGCGCAACACGTTGAGAAACCGATTTTTGCGGACAGTCCAAAGTGGGCGCGGGATTGTTAGTGTACGAGGTATGGATGCAGTGAAGCAAAATTCAAGTACACTAGTAATAATGCAAGCCATCTGAAGCACTAATATATATAGTACCTCAAATGCAAACATGTAGCAAGAAAGTCTTTCCTCAAAAACTAATCCTAGAATATAGAGATCTTACTGTAGAGCGCACCAATAGCATACCCTCTAACATGACGACTGAGTAGAGTGTAGCATAGCCTATGTAAAGCTCGGAAACTGGCCTGAACGTATGATTTCCACAAAAACTGGAACTCACCCCCAATTCTTTTTTCCCTATTGAAAGGAGCCAAAATCGAATGTGCGATAGTCAATGTCTCTGATCAAAAGACAGGAAGGAAGGCGACACGGGAGAAGAAAAAGGCTGCATGTCCGCTTACCGCCTAACTTTGGCCATCAGCATACGACGGAAACTGCACACCACAATGAAAAGGAAGCGTGGGACTCTTTGCGAAAAGAATCATGGTGTTGAAAACCCTACCAAACTGTTGATCAGACCAAAGTGAATTTTCCCTTTCTTCCTCCTCCTCACAGATACACTGGAAGGACTGTTACGTTCAAAATGGACACAAAGGGGTGAATAAAAGGAGGAACGGGCTGAAGACAGATGTTTCACAAGCCTTTTTCCACGTCTGGAGAGTGGGGCAGCTGTGCAGCCAGTCTGCCCAAACAATGAGACATGTAAGACGAGACTCTAGCTCAAAAGTATGAGGAGCAGCCGGCTGCCAAGACCGGCTTCGCTACAGCTGGGGCAACTCACTCCTCCATTTTCTTTGCTTCTGAAGAGAACATCTGGGGACAAGTCCTCTGGCTCTTCCCCAGGTCTTCCCCGAATCTCGTGATCATCATAGGGCGAGTCAGCATTTCTTTTCTTCTTGAGTAAAAGAATTGGGGAAAAAAATTCCAGCTTTTCCCCAGATCTTTCCTGAACCTTCTGCTCATCATAAAACAATGCACACTGCATTTCCTTCCCACTTTACAGAAAGATCTGGGGGAAATTTTTTCAGGTTTTCCCCAGAACTTCCCCAATTCTCAAGTTTGTTAAGGGGCGACACAATCTTTTTTTTTTTTTTTTTTGTCTTGAAGGGAAGACCTCGGGAAGAGTCACCCAGCTTTTCTCCAGAACTTTCCCCAGCCTCTTTACCACATATTCCCCAAATGGATGAGTAAAATTCATTTACTAATTTGGTGATACGATGCACAAAAGGCCAGTAACAACAGAAACAATGTAGAGCAAGCACAACTGTTGAAGGTCGCTCTTTATTTATGCTCAGAGCAATCCACAATAGTTGCATGATTCTTGGCTGCCGCATCGACACTCACATTCATTTAGAGAATCGAAAAGGGCTTATTGTCATTTATGCGCACGCACGCAGCACAGATGGGTCATTGCTCGCAAATGTGAGCGGGAGCGGAGTAGCAAGCAGGAACAATTTAGACTCTTTTTTCTGAAGTGTCTATTCAAGAAATGCTTTAATGCCAAAAAAGATCTGTCTCGTCCAAAGTCCCCAGTATATAATAATAATATTAATAATAGGACTCTATTCAGACTTTTAGTCTTGGCTGATGGAGCAAAAGGCAGACTAACGCTGCCTGATGAGGCTCCTACAGCCGTAAGCAGCGCTTGTCTGAAAGTTAAGAAAAAAGAGGAAGAAAAAAAGTGGCCTGCATAACGGCTTTAACAATTAAATATTCACTATCACAGAACATTGGTGGACATATCGGAACCAGTCATATAATGTCCTGGTAAGATATTAAAAAACGCAGAACAACAGTGCATACAGTCACGCAGCAGCTAGTGACTGTAGAAGAATTGATCATTACACAATATTATTCAACACAAACACTAAAAAAGAAGCAGGTTTACAATAATAGCCAGAGGATATTAAATGGGACCAGAAGAGAGATATCTTTGTAAGTTCATTCTTGAACTCTGGATACATTTAGCTTTCATAATAATTTCTTCAACCTCCACACACTTGTTTTAAAATTCAGGTACTCCCAGATATGCCAAGCTTTGTAGACCATAATTTGCTTGCACCTTTGGTTTGATATATATTTTATCTCTGATATTGTGTCGCTTTTTCTTTTTCGAGGATAGAGCTCATGAAATGACTCGTGGCCACTGTTAATTTATTTATATATTTTCATAGAAAGTTTAACATTTAAATGCTGTTTATTATGTAATGTACAATAATGAAAAAAATATGGGGATGTATTTTTTCCAGATGGTGAGCTTTCGATGCAGCATAGTGCTTTCTTTTGAATAATGGCTAGTTTTTTCAAAGTTTGTTCCTGTGGTTGTTCTACACATAAGCAGACAGTAATCAAGGGGAATCGGAGGCCAAATGGGCTAGCACACACCACCTTGGACAACGTGGAGCGAAAGCTCGCGCTGCAGAACCCGGGCATCTTGGGTTCAATCCCTATCCCTGCCAGTTTTGATCCGGATGAGCATCGCACCAGCGTGCGGTCATGTATCCCTACCATGTGGTGGACCCGGACTACCGGTTGTACTGCTTTGGCTAAATTTCTCATCTACAGCAGAGACACGTAGCCCATTGAGGCTGACTAATTTCAGGCTGCTTAAAATGTACAGACAATAAAATTATTATAATTTATTATTAGACAGTAATCTAGATGGAAACGTGCAAGGCTACATGTAGTAGAATTGACACTTGAGCCAACTGGGGAGGAGATAACTGAATTCTATACAAAATACCAACTGATCTAGATATCTTGGAGCAAAGACGACTTGTATGGCTTGATCAGATTAAGGTCTCTTCGAACCAGACGCCATAAATTTGTATGGGGGCACTTCCTCAATTATTGAGTCTTGGATTTTTTTAGTAACACTATGTCCATTTGCCATACTTTTTAAAATGATGTTGACATATTTAGTTTCACTTGTTTGATTCTAGTTGATTGAACTGTAGCCACAATAATAATTGTTCAAGCCAAGTGTCCACCATGTTCTAGATTTTATTAGTGTTGCTATCTGTAAAAAAAAACATCTGTATCGCCTGCATACACTATAATATTTAGAGTTTGTGGTATGTTAGCTAACAGCATCTTCGATCAACTCGCACTGGAATTGCCCTGAAACCAGGACAGTGCACAACGCACCTCTGTAGTGCAGCGCGGTGTCAGTGCAACATCAGGGACAAACTGCGCCGGTGTAGCACGGTAAGCGCCACCGTGCGTCACATCGAGGTTCTTTTGCGTTTGTTTACGCACGGTGTTTGTCTGCTGTCAATTTCTTCTGGTTCTTTCCTCGCGGATTTAGCAGTCCCACACAAACGAACACCGCGGACGGGACTGTCGATGGGGCCACAAAGCGGGTGACAATTCCACGGGCACATTTTGCCCATCATTGTTGGCTCAAGAAAGAGCACCGCCAACAATAGCCGTGTCTCGGTATCATTAAAACGCCTCAAAAAGGTTTTCACGAAGTGCCCAACTTTTGGGTGCTACTTGTGATTGCAGGAATCACTGGTAATTGCGGTGTCAAAAGAGCTGTCAAAACAGCTGAGGAATTTATCGAGTGCCTGCTGTGAGGAGAGTTCGTTTTCTCAACGTCGCCATCTCGATAGACTTTGTGTCTGCTATTCCTGCCATCTCCTCGATTCCCGCTCCTGGCTGCAACGTCTGGTGGGACTGCAACCTGGCGCACCGTCAATATTCTTGGTGTGCATTGGGAGCAATGAAAAGCCGCACCGGTACACTTGATCAAAGACGATGGGACACACTTCGGTGCACCGGTGCACAACGGTGTGGATGATAGAGGATGCTATAAATAATTTAGGTATAATAGAAAAAGCAATGGCCCTAGAATTGACCCCTGGGGAACACCATAATTTATCTAGCTCAACTCAGATTGGAAGTTATTCATAACTGTAATTGCAATCACTTTGATAAGTGACTATGAATTAATTAGAAGGAAATACCTCTTATTACATAAAATTGTAGTATTCTAAGAACATCATGTTAAATAAAACCAAAAACTTTCTGAAAAAAAAAAATAAAAAAAAATTAAGTATGTATTCTAGGTTTTCAAAATTGCTAATTAGTGTATTTTTTATATTTTATAATACCATTTTGGTCGATTTGTTCTTCTGAAATCCAAACAACTGCTGGGCAATTCAGTTCATTATTCTTATTTAGACAACAAACCCGTTTTGCCCTTGATCACCTGTTCTAAAATTTTTAAAAACCATGGTAGGACTGATATTGGTCTATAGTTATTCATATTATGCGCTGACCCACCTTTATAATCTACACATACTCTGGCGACATAATCACGGCCCATC